TGAAACAACCATCCACAAGAGACACAAGAACAATAATATAAACAACTATCCACAAGAGACACAAGGACAAGGATGTAAACAACTATCCACAAGAGACACAAGGACAATGATGTAAACAACTATCTACAAGAGATACAAGGACAATGATGTAAACAACCATCCACAAGAGACACAAGGACAAGGATGTAAACAACTATCCACAAGAGACACAAGGACAATGATGTAAAGAACTATCTACAAGAGATACAAGGACGATGATGTAAACAACCATCCACAAGAGACACAAGGACAAGGATGTAAACAACCATCCACAAGAGACACAAGGACAAGGATGTAAACAACCATCCACAAGAGACACAAGGACAAGGATGTAAACAACTAACCACAAGAGACACAAGGACAAGGATGTAAACAACTATCCACAAGAGACACAAGGACAATGGTGTAAACAACTAACCACAAGAGACACAAGGACAATGATGTAAACAACTATCCACAAGAGACACAAGGACAATGATGTAAACAACTAACCACAAGAGACACAAGGACATGATGTAAACAACTAACCACAAGAGACACAAGGACAAGGATGTAAACAACCATCCACAAGAGATACAAGGACATGATGTAAACAACTAACCACAAGAGACACAAGGACAAGGATGTAAACAACCATCCACAAGAGATACAAGGACAAGGATGTAAACAACTATCCATAAGAGACACAAGGACAATGATGTAAACAACCATCCACAAGAGACACAAGGACAAGGATGTAAACAACCATCCACAAGAGACACAAGGACAAGGATGTAAACAACTAACCACAAGAGACACAAGGACAATGATGTAAACAACCATCCACAAGAGACACAAGGACAAGGATGTAAACAATCATCCACAAGAAACACAAGGACAATGATGTAAACAACTATCCACGAGAGACACAAGGACAAGGATTTAAACAACTATCCACAAGAGACACAAGGACAATGATGTTAACAACTTACAACAAGAGACACAAGGACAAGGATGTAAACAACTATCCACAAGAGACACAAGGACAAGGATGTAAACAACTAACCACAAGAGACACAAGGACAATGATGTAAACAACTATCCACAAGAGACACAAGGACAAGGATGTAAACAACTAACCACAAGAGACACAAGGACAATGATATAAACAACTAACCACAAGAGACACAGAACTAACAACAAGATACAAGGACAAGGATGTAAACAACCATCCACAAGAGACACAAGGACAATGATGTAAACAACTAACTATCCACAAGAGACACAAGGACAATGATGTAAACAACTAACCACAAGAGACACAAGGACAATGATATAAACAACCATCCACAAGAGACACAAGGACAAGGATGTAAACAACTATCCACAAGAGACACAAGGACAAGGATGTAAACAACCATCCACAAGAGACACAAGGACAAGGATGTAAACAACTATCCACAAGAGACACAAGGACAATGATGTAAACAAGTATCCACAAGAGACACAAGGACAATGATGTAAACAACTAACCACAAGAGACACAAGGATAAGGATGTAAACAACTATCCAAAAGAGACACAAGGACAATGATGTAAAAAACTAACCACAAGAGACACAAGGACATGATGTAAACAACTAACCACAAGAGACACAAGGACAAGGATGTAAACAACCATCCACAAGAGATACAAGGACAAGGATGTAAACAACTATCCATAAGAGACACAAGGACAATGATGTAAACAACTAACCACAAGAGACACAAGGACAAGGATGTAAACAACCATCCACAAGAGATACAAAGACAAGGATGTAAACAACCATCCACAAGAGACACAAGGACAAGGATGTAAACAACCATCCACAAGAGACACAAGGACAAGGATGTAAACAACTAACCACAAGATACACAAGGACAATGATGTAAACAACCATCCACAAGAGACACAAGGACAAGGATGTAAACAATCATCCACAAGAAGCACAAGGACAATGATGTAAACAACTATCCACAAGAGACACAAGGACAAGGATTTAAACAACTATCCACAAGAGACACAAGGACAATGATGTAAACAACTTACAACAAGAGACACAAGGACAAGGATGTAAACAACCATCCACAAGAGACACAAGGACAATGGTGTAAACAACTAACCACAAGAGACACAAGGACAATGATGTAAACAACTATCCACAAGAGACACAAGGACAAGGATGTAAACAACTAACCACAAGAGACACAAGGACAATGATGTAAACAACTATCCACAAGAGACACAAGGACAAGGATGTAAACAACTAACCACAAGAGACACAAGGACAATGATATAAACAACTAACCACAAGAGACACAGAACTAACAAGAAGATACAAGGACAAGGATGTAAACAACCATCCACAAGAGACACAAGGACAATGATGTAAACAACTAACTATCCACAAGAGACACAAGGACAATGATGTAAACAACTAACCACAAGAGACACAAGGACAATGATATAAACAACCATCCACAAGAGACACAAGGACAAGGATGTAAACAACTATCCACAAGAGACACAAGGACAAGGATGTAAACAACCATCCACAAGAGACACAAGGACAAGGATGTAAACAACTATCCACAAGAGACACAAGGACAATGATGTAAACAAGTATCCACAAGAGACACAAGGACAATGATGTAAACAACTAACCACAAGAGACACAAGGATAAGGATGTAAACAACTATCCAAAAGAGACACAAGGACAATGATGTAAACAACTAACCACAAGAGACACAAGGACAAGGATGTAAACAACTATCCACAAGAGACACAAGGACAATGATGTAAACAACTAACCACAAGAGACACAAGGACAAGGATGTAAACAACCATCCACAAGAGACACAAGGACAAGGATGTAAACAACTATCCACAAGAGACACAAGGACAAGGATGTAAACAACTAACCACAAGAGACACAAGGACAAGGATGTGAACAAGTAACCACAAGAGACACAAGGACAATGATGTAAACAACCATAGGACGACGCACGGCATTCTACAATGAGCAAAACGCATACCGTTAATACAGCTATTAAGGGCCCCGGCATGACAAAACGTGAAGCAGTTCAAACGAAAGGGAAATCTAACTGCCTGATCTGCTAAAATAAAAAAATGACAGACAACAACTAACGACAACATCTGAATTACAGACTTCTGCTTTGGAACAGGCACATAAGAATGAAGCGGAGATAATCATGTTTGTGAGCGCTCAACCCTCCCTTAACTGGGACAGTGGTGTAACTGCCCAACATAAGAACAAATGATAAAAATCTATTGAAATAGGCTTGACTCATCTAATAGGCACGAAAACAATAACTAAAAGACAACAACAAAAAAACCTACAAGGTACCTATTTAAGAAAAATCGTAGTCACTGAAAGCTAGTTCAAACACCATTAAGAAGAATTAAATTCCAAACCTCTTATTCTGGGAAATAAGAATGGTTACTTATTTTTTTCAAATTAAATTCTTAATAAATATACATTCAACTTTTCGAGAGAAAGAAATAACACTTTGTAAAATTTGGTGCGTCCGAAGGATTTTCTAGATTTACGCACCTAATCATCAAGAACACTTAAACCTAAAAATGATTGATAAATTAATTCAATTTACTCCAGTGAGTTGTTCAATGTGTTTTTCGATTGTTTTTTTACTTTCAAACCCGATATATTATAAGTGTTCCTGGTATAAGAAAATACAACTACGCATCTATCTCTAAACTCAATAAACTGAATGCATGTTTATGGTACTGACACTCAGAGTAAAGAAAGTAACGTAAGATACTTCCCTCACGGGTGAAGATTTAACTTAATCAATATCGAAGTCTTGTCCTAGAAAGTGTTTCGGACGTAATCATGATTTGCTTGATGCTACGGAATATCTGTGTCATCGGTAACCATGATATTTAACATCAAAAAACAAGTCTTTCATTCCTCGTTGATGATATCATCAAAATGCGACTAATTACAGGATTTTAAACTGTAAAGAGGATCCCAATGATAGCCAACAGTTGAACAGAGACAACTTACTCTTCAGGAGCACTCGTCTTCACCTGCACTTTATGTTGGGGTTTGTTTTGGCCACTCTTTTGTTTTTCTTTGTATCGTTTTAAGGATTTTTAGTTGCCTGGTTTTGTCATCCATTTTTCTGTTTTTCTTTGACTTATGGTTTCTCGTTTGTACCCTTGGTATTCTCTTTCTTTCTATATAAAGACAGGAATGATTTCGACGAAGAGCTACAAATAAAGAAATACTAAAGCTATAATATATAAAAATTTATCAAGTATTTATCTCATTAAATTTTGTTGATATCAAAGGGTCATGTAACAACTACTAGCCAGTCAAGGACAATAAATAGTCGTTCAGTTTTCATATATATACGTCAAAAATACAGGAAAAGGATAACTACAACGTACATTTGAACCAGTTATGAATCATTTTTATGGTTTAAAAATAGAATACAGTAAGAAACGATTCATAGTTATCTTTGTATACATTAGATTGTTACAGTATTTAAATGACATTTAAAGGGGAACACCCATTCTGTTTGAATTCGGAAAACTTAATTTTTCGGGGAACTTTTTGCATCCGGGATGGATATATGTTTTAAACGGTTTAAAAATGTTATTACTTTAAACAACTACTTATATATTGCATTGCATGCATGACATTCCATTTTTAATATACTCACTAGGTAATTTGATTAAAAATTTTGATATTAACAGTTTATATGTTTATTTTAAATTTAGAAACGTAATATACTGGTTTTGGTAAATTCGACTGAAAGTCTCAAGTCTAACACAGTTAAAAATCATTAATCTTTAGGACATGACATCATTTAGTGTTTGAACAGAAAAAGAACAGATAATATTGTTGAAAAATTACTAATTTTATGGTCCGCTAAAGTCAAAATAAAAACTAACACATGTTATGATGATGCAGGCCACAGATGTGACAGTTTATGTTTCAAAATCAATCATATCAAAAGATACATGTATAAAATTTGCATACACTACAATTATAAGTACCAATTGTGAATTTAAATATACAATACTTTCATTACAATCTGAACCAATAAGCATATTATGTAATAAGTGAAAAGACAAATGTCATCAATTATTAAAATTGAAATTTTTGAAAAGTCAATCAATTTAGAGTTATCTCCCCTTGACTATAAATTTGTTAATAATAGTGTAACATCTCAACTTTTGGGAGCAGATACCGCCATGACGTATGAAGCTCTTATGGAGCTGAAAACGCTGCCCTAAAGTAAACCTGCATCACCCATCATCCTACTTATGCAAATGATAAAACTTACGATTCTATGTACTGTTTATAAACAAGTAAAAAATTATGCAACAAATGCATATACTAAAAATACACAATATACAGACATTGAGTCCCACGAATGTCCTGTATCCTTAAAGACACAATTTACAGACATTGTGTCCTACCTACGTATCTACTTTATACAACCAATCATAAACTAAAGAGACACAATTTACAGACATTGTGTACTAACCATGTATCTACTTGATACAAACCAAATATACTAAAAAGACACAATTTACAGACATTGTGTCCTATCAATGTATCTACTTGATACAAACTAAAATATACTAAAAAGACACAATTTACAGACATTGTGTCCTATCAATGTATCTACTTGATACAAACTAAAATATACTAAAAGACACAATTTACAGACATTGTGTCCTATCAATGTATCTACTTGATACAAACCAAAATATACTAAAAAGACACAATTTACAGACATTGTGTCCTATCAATGTATCTACTTGATACAAACCAAAATATACTAAGAAGACACAATTTACAGACATTGTGTCCTATCAATGTATCTACTTGATACAAACTAAAATATACTAAAAAGACACAATTTACAGACATTGTGTCCTATCAATGTATCTACTTGATACAAACCAAAATATACTAAAAAAAGACACAATTTACAGACATTGTGTCCTAACCATGTATCTACTTGATACAAACCAAAATATACTAAAAAGACACAATTTACAGACATTGTGTCAAACAAATATTTTTACTTGATGCAATAACAGACCAAGTTTGTTTACTATTGACTAAATTCTTACAGCAAAAACATGCATTCAATAATTGTATTAATACCTATTTTCCCTTTCAGATAACTGTATTTCCTTAAATATTGTTATAAGTTTACTGATAAATATTACTACATGTAAATGGGAGATTTTAAGAATCCAGTCCTGGCAAGCTGTTTTCTGTCAATTACTTCTCAGTAAAATTTGGTCATTTCAATGGTAAACGGATGAATTCCTGGTTTTAGGTTGTCCTTGTATCAGCTTAAATAAGCGTCATAATTCACCTTTCCCAATTGACCACCGTTTCCATATAATATGAACTGTTATTCTGTTTGTGATATGTAATGAGCTGTGACCCACAAGCCCTGTACAAAATATAAAATAATAAACTGCAGTAATTCATTCACAAATTACATCATTACATGATCAGTTGTGAGACAGATAAACATGACTAAAGGTTAGAAATTTGACCTGATTGTCTAATATATAATTTGAATGCATCGGATTTCCATCTACCTAAATTTCTTATGGTTTCTGTGGACAATCCTTTTGCACTTATGTCGGTAGCAAAGCCTATCCTGAAACTATGAGGTTTGTAATATGCTCTGCTGAGCCCACAAAAGTTCAAAGCACCATTCAGAGCATGTTGGAATAATTGTCTAGAAACAGCTTCTCCACTGGAGTTGAGGAATAGTGGACCCGTTGTGTTTGTTCTCAAAGTTAAGTAACTAGTAAGCGCCGTTACTGCACAAATATTGTTATTTTTATTCTTAGCTATTTCTAAATGGAATTGTTTTCCATTTGAATGTTTGAAGTCCATGAAACTGATACTTAATTTTTCGTGTAACACAACAGTTTGACTTAAACTAATAACATGATTGTAATTTTTGTTGTTGACTGTCATCTCACCAATTCTTAAAAGAGCATGGTATGCTAGGGTGAACATTGCTTTGAATAGAATTTGATCATATCTATTAGATATTGTCTGTTTTAATGCATCTATTAATTGATTCAAAATTGTACTAGTAATTGGAAGTCTCATATCTTGATTTCTTCCCTTATGCACTGATTTCAGTACCTTATCAATAATGAATGAATCAGTTGGATCAGGCCAATTATTAATTTTGTGTGTAAAACCAATTGCTGAAATGTATGTTGAGATAGAACTTGATGCAAGATCTTTGTATTTCAAATGTGCTATAAATAGTATGAGATCTGAACTAGTAAGTGGTAACTGAAATCTAATGCCATATTCTTCAGCAAAACTCTTATAGTGGATAATTGCTCTTCTATAAGTTTTTTGTGAGGATTCAGATAAGATGTTGTTAAAAATTTTATTTAAGGGTTTCTGTAGCTTGGCAAATCTGGTAGATTGGGAACTGGTTTGGGAACAGTGTCTGCCCATGGTGCTAACCGATGAAATTTCTGTACCTGTTGACGAGAAAGTGCATCTGCCAAAACATTTTTTGAACCATATATGTGTTTTGCCTTAAAGTTCACATTGTTTCTCAAGCAGTGTAGAACTAGTCTTCTTATTAGGAACATAATTAACGCATCTTTAGATGTTTGTTTATTAATTACAGACACTAAAGCTATATTGTCTGTATGAAAATATATGCACTGGTTTTCAAATCGGTGGCCCCATATTTCAACTGCCAAGATAATGGGATATAGCTCTAAAAAGGCAATATTTTGTTTTTGCCATTTGCCTAAGAACCACTGTGAACCAAACAAAGCACCATAACCGTATGTACCAGAGGCATCTGTAAACAAATGTAGCTGATCAGATGTTAACCAACGGTCTGATAAAATCAATGACTTCCCTTTAAAATTCTTTAAAAAATTTTGCCATGTATTTAGATCTTGCTTAACTGATTTTGTCATTCGTATTCTATGAAAGGATTTTTTGACCCCAATTGTTAAGTCTATTAGTCTTCTCAGAAATGCCCTTCCTGGGATAACAACTGCACAAGCAAAGTTGAGTGTACCAATGATAGATTGAAGTTCCCTCAATGTAATTTTTTCTTTTTGTAACACTACGGTTAAAAGATTGTGACATTTATCAAGCTTATCAATTGGAAGTCTAACTAGTGTCTATTTCGTAACCAACAAAACTCATAACCTGGGATGGCTGGAATGTTTTTTTCCTTAGAAATTGGTATACCCATATCTTTACAAATTGCAAGAAAACGTTCTATTTTTTTCTTAATTCTTTATTTTTTGCGATCCATTCAATGGCTGTGCTAAAATTTTCAAAAATTTGACAACTAGAACTACAACCCATTTGCAGATTTTTATCGTAATAGTATTTCCCCTCCCACATGAAGCCAAATAGTTTGTATTGTGATTCTTTTATGTTTATAATTCGAAATGCACTGGATATGTCGGTTTTTGCACAAAAACGTTTTCTTCCTACAGACTTAATCAGTTCTATTGCATCTTGAATGGAAGCATACTGTACACTGCATTTGTCTTGTGGTATGTTGTCATTGATTGATGATCCTTCAGGGAAAGATAAGTGGTGGATCATTCTATATGTCCCAGGCATTTTCTTTTCTGCTAGTCCCAAAGGGGATAATTGCATTTCTGTAAAAGGTTTTGAATCAAAAGGGCCAACAAATCTATTTGCATTAATTTCATTTTGAATTTTTTGTCTAACGATATCAGGTTTAGTCTTTGCTGATAATAAATTATCAACTATATTATGATGAACAGAACCTCTGAATCCTACATCGAACCCATATTTAAACCCGTTAACTAAGTAATTGTACATTTCAATATTATATCCTTTTAACCAATATCCAAGCCTATCAACCTTAACTGGTGTATTGCTATTAGAATTATAGTTAACATCATTTTCTGGTGGGGACAGTTTTTTCTGTCCTTGGGGAAGAGGTGTCGTCTCTGTTACTAGATAGGGAGGGTCCCCGAAAGGGCTGGTTATTCCCTCCTTGTATCTTTTTTGAGTAATTACTGGTTTGTGTGAACTTATAAGGGAGCCGAACTGGTTTTTTGCATGTTGAGAATGAGTGGTTGAAACCGCAATTGAAACATCTGTGTTGAAACTTGCATTTATCACCAAACTTACAACCTAAACCCTTATGGAATGAAAAACATACTCCAACTGGCCAGCGAGTACTGCCACCTTTGTTGTTGTCATTCCCAGATTTAACGTTAGCTTGTAATTTTGCTCTGAGATATAGTTCTAGGTGTGTACTCCCCCATTGTGCTTCTCCTCTTTCTAATAATTTCCTAAATTCGATATCGTAAAATTGCCAGTTCCCCCCTTCTCTTGACATTTCCAGGATTATTTCCATACAGGCCCTAATTCAGGGTTTTTAGTACAAATTATTGCTGTAAATTTATTCCAGGCTGATAGCCATTGGTTTAGGGTTAATGTTTTCTTGTTACGCTCTTCTGTAATGGACAGTTAAGGGTTGTCGGCCCCTTGAACAAGTTGTAATCTGTATTTGGTCTCGTCATTTTCAAAGAGGGAATGGAAGTCGATGTACTTTCCCGCCCATATTTGTTGTTTTATTTTATCCGGTATATTTCCCCCTGTTTTGAGGGAGCAACTGACAAAGGCTGATTGCCCCCCAATAATTTGTTTATCAACAGTTGGTTGTACAGCCAGAACCTCTGGGCTGACAACCACATTGTTATTGTCATGGTTTTGCTCTCCATTACATGTACCTTGGATGTTTCTGTTCAGAGTGTCCACATGATGTTGGACCTCAGCCTCCTGAATATCTGAATTGCCATTATTTCCTTTTGAAGTTATCTTGTCAAAAATTTCCTCCATCCTCCTTTCCATTCGGCTAGCTACCCTTTCCGTTACCCTATTGGTCAACTCCTCCATGACATCTGGTGATATAACTGTTGCATTATTTGGGGGGATGGAAGGCCTACTTGGTATAGCGGTTGATGTTTTCTTCCTCTGGGCGGCCGTTTTCATTTTCTTTATGGCACCTGCCACACCGTACGAGGATTGTCTTTTTGGAGGCATTGTCTGAAATATACTAATGCAAACTTAATACAATACTTTCAATTATAATAATTTTTCTTTTTAGGACTATTTTGTTTTATTGAATTTGTTTTTCTTTGTATTTAACCTTGATTATTCATGTTAACCTTGTTTGAATAATTTAATCTGGACGATCCTCAACCATTAAACATGTTAAAATTGTTTTGTTTGTGTTCATTATTATCTGAAATATTACCAGTTTCTGCCGTAAAATTTTTCCTTTTGGTAACTAAATATTTAGTTTTAGCAACAACATTAAGTTCAAACATACGACATGTATCGTTACTGTATACATGACCTACATAATTCATTAGTATAAAAGTCAAGTACGATAATGTGATATGTAATATGATATCGATCGACAAACAGTAACATAGCGGATTGATATGTAAATGTGTGTTGTTAACTTGTATTTATTTATGGTAACTACTACTTGAACCATGATTATGCATCATAATCCCAATAAGTTTGATTGTCATTTTGTTGCGATTATCCACCGGAAGTTTTCCAAAGATTCCAAAATTTACGAGTACGGTTCAGATACGTGTTAATTTCCGTTTTCTAATTTAATCTCTTTGCTGGCATTGATAACTGCTCCTCGTATTGACTTGTATAAATGGTATTGACCTTTCGTATTTAGATGTACTCCATCGGAAATAAATTTATCTTTGCATGAATTTTTGTTTGTGGTGTCAAAAGAAAATCTTTTGCTATGATCCCAAAAGATAAATTTCGATGATTTTTCAACCTCGTTTTTTATCATTTTATTTATTTCTTGTGCTTTTTCAAAATACATATTCTTGTATGCCCTATCTCGGACACTTGTATTGTCCCGATTGTATCCATCTTTCTTAAGTCTGAAATTATCCCGTGGGAAGCGTGGCATGATGGCACATATTACTACTCGTCGAACTCCATACGTATTTGTCAGTATCGAACAGAAACTTATCAGTTTATATGCCACTTCCTCAACAGACGTGTCTTCTACAACATCGTTACCACCAGCTAGGAGAATAACACATTCGGGTTTTTTAATTTTAACTATACCCATGTCGAACTTTATCATTTTATGAATAGTTCTTCCTCCTACGCCATGCCACTCGACGGTTGAAGTTTTTGCCAAATTGAAGTCTAATTGGTGTCTATGATCGTTTCTTGATTTCAGGTAGTTGTGAAGCCGATGGCAAATGGAATGACCTAGTATAAGTGTGTTTAAAGGCATGCCTAGAAAAAATATTTTATGAAATTGAGTGAAAATATTTTATGAAATTGAGCGTCACCAAATTTCTGTACGTGTTCTTCCTTCGGCAGCTATTTGAAAAAGAGGCTGCATATTAAAACATGTGCTTGAAGTAGCGCCCCCATATCAATTACAAAATTCCTAAGAGATTCAAGTCAGATAAACACCTATGTACTGTACAAAACTATTTTCTACATATTTCTAATATTTCTAATATTTACAAAACATGATATCAAAAGACTTAATACAATTAAAAGTTACAATCTTTCATTGTACCATAAAGTCACTTATGCTGCACATAAGTGTATTTATCATGCAAATCTCCTAAAATATGTCGCCAAATGACATGAAACGATAACCATATTTGTTTTGATTTTATTATAGATCTGCAAATTTGTAAAATATATCTTAAAGAAGACCTCGGAAACTGGATACAGTTCCATAAAAATAAAAGAAATTTGTAGCTTAATTGTTGCAAATTACCTTAAGTCCCATTTCAACATTTTGACTGCAGAAGAGTAAAATGTTGCCAGCCTCCCACTACTAAAACTAGATTGTTGTCATTTTTATGGCCCCGCCGACTTTGGTCGGGCCATATAGTTTTACCCTTGTCCGTCATTCCGCAACGAATAGTTATACGGATTTTTTTTAAACGCCTTCACATATTGAGCTGATTTTTAGTATGTGAGTCTACTATGATGAGTTACAGATCGAGTTAACGTTTGGTTCCGCTACGCTGATTTTTGTCGAAATTACGGGCTTTGGACTTTGAAAATTTCGTGAAAATAACAGTTATACGGACTTTTTTTCTAAACGCATTCACATATTGAGTGGATTTTTAGTAGGTGAGTCTACTATGACGATTTTATAACATGCTCTTCGTATATTACTATCTTATTTAAGTATCGTTACGCAAATCGACTTTTATATTTATTTCCCTTATCTGTGATGTATTGTCTATTCTAGACGATCCGCTACATATTAAATTTGCTGGTTGGTCTTTTTTAAAGACTTGCATATGTTTTTCCTGAATGGCTTCTAATATGTTACGCACATAATCTCAGTGAATTAAGTTCTCTTACAACATGGACATTAATGATTATTTCAAATAATTTAGAACTATTAAACACATACTATCTAGAAATGAACCCTATTTATCTAATTTAATTCATTATGTAAACAATGTAAGAGTTCCCAACGGAATATCAAGCCACAAACAGCAGGCAATTTATTTAACACCCAAATTCGCAGAAAGGATCAAACACTCTACCATTTCTCTAAGCGTTTAATGATCCTCCTTATACAACACTGGGAAAAACATCTCAATACTTTAACTGACGAATTTAGCATTCTTATAAATAACTTTAAAGAAGATTACACATAGGGCAACTGTATTAAATAGATGATATTGAAGCTCAAAGAGACAAAATTTTCGGAAGACCCTGAATATTTTGACAGAAGTCTCCGCTTCAAGGAATATTTCGCGTTGAGGGATCCATAAACCGAGGGAAAATGCCACCTGAAAATCCTTTATTGACAATTTTAAGTCAGATATCCTTAGAAATACCAGGGAAAACAATAAATCTTACGACAACCTTAACACGAAGAACAATCTGCACTGAAAAAATTATAATCCAACAGCAACATCGTTATTTAACCTGTAGATAACAACAGTGCAGTGGTCATCATGGATAAATATGTCCTCATTCAAGAGGCTTGAATGTCAAGTTGACGATGCAAGGTTCTACCGAAAACTAGACTCTGATACTACAACAACTTTTAGCAGAGAAATAACTAGTTTGGTAGAAATGCACGAAGATGGTTTTATCGATTACAAAATATGAATATTTGAAACCAGAAAATCACTTTTTTGCAATGTGTCCTGCAAAAGTTTGAATTTTATTTACATTCTAGAATAATTCGTCTATCATGGCCTACAAGTTGTAGGCTAGTCAAATCAGACATTCCACTAATGCCTCTATTGACACAGGAGCGATGTTACAAAAAAATCATAACTCCAATAGAGCTAACGCTTCAGACACTCGGATCACAATCTTAATGACTTCAATCGAAAGAATAGTGATTGTGATTCAACAGAACAATCACTAGAATGGTACTCAGTGACAGGATCGGGAGAAATTTCGAATATAGGAATTTATGGTTCTTCAACCTATAACAGAAATACATAGGTGTAGTTTTAAAGATGTTTTCATTTCACAATGTATGTTCGGTCAGTATTTATAGATGTAGAACACATTTTTGGGATGTAAAGGTACACACACACACACACACACACACACACACACACACACACACACACACACACACACGATGTATAATACTCAATCAAGGTATTATGTAAAGTCAAACATAATCATATTTATTTTCAATTAATCTCGGTATTAAATTTTTATTTGTTCTAAAAGTTCAAGAGTCTCAACATTAAAGATAAAAAATACCGTAAATAGGATTTGAAAACTACAACATTAATTGTAGTACAAAGATTTTTAGGATTTATTATAAGATCGATACTGATTGGGCCATTTGTTGTATAGAAATATTTGTCTTTCTTTACAGTACAAATTTATAATATCATTGTAATTCGTATGTATCTCTTATCAGTATCTTTCACAAATATTTAAACCTGTATATTTTTTCTGGTTGTTTAACATTATCATCCTCAAGCGATCCGGACCCGATACCTGTTAAGTTTGCTGATTGGTTGTTTCCTTACGACTATATATACGTGTGCGGCAAGCATACGACTGACATTCCCAAAAACAAAATTTACAATTACTTTTTCTGAAATTTAGAAGAAATTGAAATGCGTTTTAACATTACTGTAGACTTTCTCATTTGAGTTAAGGAAGTATGGGATCGAGTCTTTTGCCATATTGGATCTCAAATTACTTCAAATTATATTTATTATAAAATTAACAAAGTGGCAGATATAACGTCTTTGACATGGCAAACCCACAGAGTCGCTTTAATCCTTATAAACGTTAACAATTTTGCACAAGCTTGAAAACAAACGCAATGAACTATACGTTTTATCTTATTTTTGAAAAAAGCACGATAAAAACTCTCTTTGACTAAGTGAGAAGAAATTCTGTTATGATTTTGTTTATACCTCTATACTACCCTAATTATGTTTATTAACCATTTTGCATGGTAAATTGATAATGAAAAGCTGGCGGTTGATCTTGAATGAAAATGTTATGCATTAATATGTTTTCAACGTAACTCTGAACATCGTTCGATACATTGTTACTATATAAATCATGAAATATTTAAAAATACGTTACATAGTAGGTCACACGCAAAAACAAAAGAAACTATCTGATGAATTAAAGATACGTATGATGGTTGGTAAAGGGGTGTCAACACAAACAGATTTCAGACCCATATGATCTAGTTTTATTAAAAATATGCATTGCAACATTCAATATAAAATATAGTATAATATATAATGTGTAAAATAATTAAGTTAGAAGTCAAAATATGAATGTATATTTGACCAACGATCTACATACTAGTATTCGGTTCTTAAAAAAATACAAGTGAAAAATTATTTATTTTACTCAGTTTTGTTAACCAGATTAAACCAGTTTGGAATGTTGGATGCTTGAAAAAAGGTCAAATTAACACAGTAAATTAATTCATTAAAAAATATAATAAAACGGCATGTAACCTTAAATCGCAACTAATCTAACTGTAATATTTAAACACATGGCAGAGTAGAGGATATATTGCCTAAAATAGATAGCTCTTCATTAAGTTAGAGTATTATTTACATACATATAAAACAAAATATTTTGAAAACCTTTTAAATAACTTTACAGAAAAAAGTTGTTTTCGTATTGGAGTACTAATGATAAAACCCAACTTTTATTTAGACAAGGCTCATCAATATACAAAATGTATAACATATTTTCAAAGTGGCTTTATCTTTTATTACCTAAAAGGTATACCGAAATACGTTTATATAACGTATGAACTCTTATAATGGAAATCAGTATATTTTAACCTCCTACATATTTTTCTATATGCTTTGATTTCATATCTTCGGACGTCCTAAATCCTTCCTCTTTTAGATTTCAATAATATATTTAAAAGATCACATCAAATGCCCATAAGTAGAGGTGAATTGATTAGTGCATTGCACCAGCCATCAATATACAGAAGCAACTTCTAATGTAGTATATACTTAATTTAAGTGAAAAACCCTGCTTCCATGGTTATCTCCAACGACATGGTGTTTATTGATTTTTGAAAACGGGACGAATTATAAGAAAAAAAACCAGAGTGGCCAAAGGGGGACATATAAATGATGAAAACATAGTTGTCAAATTCTCCTACAAGCAGCTTTACCTGCATAGTATTAGCGGACTACCGAGTCAGTATACTTACACATGAAAACTAACTTTTCATCGTATGTTTTGTTGTATACCTTACTTTAGTTATAAAAAGATTATACACACTCGCACATTTATTTTATATATATAAATAAAATTGAAATTTGTAAAAACGCCGATATTTAATATTCTGAATTACGTAATGTAAATCACAAAATTTAAAGATAACGTCCATTATCCTATGGACGACGTTTGATTGTTCTTGTGTGACGTTTCTCTTATTGTTTATTCCTTTTCCTTTATTATTCTTTTGGTCTCAGTTGACGCATGCAGAAATTCATATATTGTGAAAATATGGAATTGTGGAGTTTGATATTAGGCACTCTTTCTAATATGCCCGCTCAATTTATATTTTGGCGTATTCTGGCTGACGGATCTGTTGCTTGTGTACTGTAACTCTTTTCCTAAAATAGTTAGTTGTCCAATGTAATTTTCCTTACAGCCATTGCATGTAACTACCTATATTATTTCTGGGCAAGAAAAATTAATATCATATGTTCTGGTGAATGTCATTCCATTTTTGAATTTGATTGTTGTTCCTTCTTGAATGTAAATACAGGTACCACAATTTGATTTTCCACACCTTGTTACTTTCGGAATACTGTTGGAAATGCTAGACTGGTAAAATTCAGCTTTTGTTCATAGTTTCTTAAGCTTTTTACATTGTCGTTTACATTTATATATATAGAAGCAAATATTTTGATGGCTCTTATTCCAACATATTTACACCTATCACAGATTATTACCATTAAGAGAAATAATTATTATGTAAATGGTCAATTATTGTTCTTATATTTTTTTCAAAATGTCATCTAAGCGTATTAATGAGCGTAACCGTTTGATTATATTCAAAAATTGATTATAAATACAGCTATACTTGACACATAGTTAGTGTATATGTATATGTATATGTAAGTGGATTGATTGACTACTGCACCAATTACAGTCTAATTTGATCAGTAGGAATATATTTGACTTTTTTGTCTCCTACATAAGCCAAGTTGTCTTTTCCATTTGATGCAATTGTTCTGTGTCTTAATTCGTTAATTCGATCATATCGTTTGCGAGGATCTTGATCACGGTCCTCGTCAAGAGCAGGACCCCATTCAGGCTGCTTCTTCAATGCTCCAGGGAACTAAAATTAGGAATGCCTTTTATCAATAAAACACAAATAGCTTTGAAATACACTATATACAATGTTAAAACATAAAAAAGTACATAAAAGGTATATGTGTAAATTGGTGAACTGTTTTAAAGACTAGTATTTTAACTATATAAATCAAGATAAAAGGTAGTACAAGAAATAAGTATCTTGCGCAAAGAAAAAGTGTATGATATACGTATTCTTCGGAAATTGTCTGTACCAAGTCAGGAATATGGAAGGTGTTTATTACTTGTTCCGTTGATAGATAGCGTTTGATTTTGTCTTTTTTTATGGACTTCCTTTCTTGAATTTGCCTTGATGTTCGGTATTTTTGTTATACTTTTTTCTACTATTTAGTACTACTAACAGGTAAATTACCAGACAGTGAAGCCTAGAGGCTATCATTCACCAAGTAGCCAGTGTTTTTGGTAGTGACATGACTTAAATGATAAATATTGACTATACTTTTACATTTAAAGTTCATAAATTATTTCATCGTACTCAAACTAAGATTGCATCTCCCTCATGTTAAATTGAGATGAGATTGTTTGGCTGTTGCATCTCCCTTGGGTAAAATTGACATGGAATAGTTGGGCTGTTGCATCTCCCTCATGTAAAATTGACAGGAGGTTGTTTGGCTGTTGCATCTCCATCGGGTAAAATTGACATGGAATAGGTGGGCTGTTGCATCTCCCTAATGTAAAATTGAGATGAGATTGTTTGGCTGTTGCATCTCCCTTGGGTAAAATTAACATGGAATAGTCGGGCTGTTGCATCTCCCTCATGTAAAATTGACAGGAGGTTGTTTGGCTGTTGCATCTCCATCGGGTAAAATTGACATGGAATAGGTGGGCTGTTGCATCTCCCTCATGTAAAATTGACGTGAGATTGTTTGGCTGTTGCATCTCCATCGGGTAATTTGACAAGGAATAGGTGGGATGTTGCATCTCCCTCATGTAAAATTGACATGAAATTGTTTGGCTGTTGCATCTCCCTCGTGTAAAATTGACATGAGATTGTTTGGCTGTTGCATCTCCATCGGGTAAAATTGACATGGAATAGGTGGGTTGTTGCATCTCCCTCATGTAAAATTGACGTGAGATTGTTTGGCTGCTGCATCTCTCTCGTGTAAAATTGACAGGAGATTGTTTGGCTGTTGCATCTCCATCGGGTAAAATTGACATAGAATAGGTGGGCTGTTGCATCTCCCTCGTGTAAAATTGAGATGAGATTGTTTGGCTGTTGCATCTCCCTCATGTAAAATTGACGTGAGATTGTTTGGCTGTTGCATCTCCATCGGGTAATTTGACAAGGAATAGGTGGGATGTTGCATCTCCCTCATGTAAAATTGACATGAAATTGTTTGGCTGTTGCATCTCCATCATGTTAAATTGACATGAGATTGTTTGGTAGTTCCATCTCCATCGGGTAAAATTGACATGGAATAGGTGGGCTGTTGCATCTCCCTCATATAAAATTGACATGAGATTGTTTGGCTGTTGCATCTCCATCGGGTAAAATTGACATGGAATAGGTGGGCTGTTGTATCTCCTTCAGTTAAAATTGACATGCGATTGTTTGGCTGTTGCATCTCCATCGGGTAAAATTGGCATGGAATAGGTGGGCTGTTGTATCTCCCTCGTGTAAAATTGACAAGAGGTAGTTTGACTATTCAATCTCTCTCAGGTAAAATTGACTTGATATATAGTTTGGCTGTTGTATTAAAGCCCTTTTTATTTAAATGCTCTCATTTTTTTCTATGTTTTGATTTCCTATCTTTTGTTTGGTCTCGAGCATATTTGATAATTGGTTATTATAGATCACGTGTCGTGCACACAGACAAGGCTATCATGCGTTTTAAAGACACTATCTAAAATAAATACTAGAATGGTTAATTTATCTACTAAAATTGCATGGTTGTGTATTCTTCTCGAATTCCGAAATATCTTACACATTTATAAGACAATAATATCTTAATTATACTGCATTATACCATCATCCACTGAAATAGCTTAAAATTAGCCAGAAATGACATTCGCAAATGTTTCAAAGCGCCTTGATCAAGCGGTTGTCATTCAAAAACATACAAAATTAATGGAAAAAGACTCCATCCGAGGATAGAAAAAAAAATAGCAGAAAAAAATTTGTATGTTATCATTTATAATACTCCTATATCTTTACTTTGCTATATCTGAAATCTTGTTTTTGTTTTACTTGTCAAGAAATAGCTTTTGTTCTAGGACCCAAACAGATTTTCCAGTTGTTGTAAATTCAATGCATACAAACGTTCTGTATTTATTATAAGGTACACCAATTATAGTACGTCTGAAATGCTTACAAAGATTGATATACTTACACCATATCGGATGCTTTGTACGATGAATCCCAATACAATGAGTGCTAATGGAGAGCATACCATCAACCAACCAAGAGCTTCAGCGTATCCAGGGAATACGTAATCTCCATAGTAGGCAGGAGCATAATTTAAACCGGACATAATCACGATAAACTATAACATAAATTCAAAGTGATGGTTATACAAATAACAAGATAAAAAAATAAACGTTATCGAAATTTGAAGTGTTATGGTGCAATCCCCGATTCTGATATTCTATGCTCTAGAAAATCTTATCAATAAACAACCAATTTTAAAAATTAGTTTTATCATGAAAATAAAAACCAACAAAAATATAAACAGTTGAATTTATTGATTCTAAAAAAATATGACATATTTAATATAGTATTTACGATTTGGTCTGTTCGCGTTTTTTATGATGTTGTATTGTTCATGCAAATAGGGATTGAGCTATTTAAATATCATTAGCCCAGTAAAACGTATACAGAATAAGAGACAGTTACCAATCCGCTATTATGTGACGTTTTATCTGTTGTTTTATTGTTTTCCTCTTATAGTTGATGCGTTTCCCTCGGTTTTGGTTTGTGACCCGGATTTATTTTCGCTTAATCGATTTATGACTATTGAACAGCTATTGAACTACTGTTGCCTTTATTTATCATCGGAGATTTTTCTTTTTTTTTGTCATGGTATTGTCTGTTTTCTTCGACGAACGTTTTTTAATTGACTTTTGGTATCTAATCCCCTTTATTAAATATTCTGGAACCGTTTTAGAATAAAAAAATCATTTGTTTAGACATGATATTTAGTTATCATGCTTCTTACAGCACTACTTGGATAAATGGTGATTAATTGCCTACATACTTAAATATAATATACATTTAGTAATTAACTCTGTAAATATGTATTTGTTTGTGTGTGCTCATAAGTAGCATGCATTTTCCACTATAGTTATATTATTTTAAATACAGTTGTTAATATTTGATTCACACCTTAAGCTTGTACATGTAATATGGATAGAGCTTTTATATGATGTGCCTGTTGCTCAACCCTTTTCATATCTTAATATAAAATATGTTTAAAATCATATACAATACTACAAAAGATTTGTAGCAAGAAAGTGTAGCAATAATTTTTTTTTTAAATGTTCAGTACTTTGGCTTATAACTACTACGAGCCCCATTTATTAATATACTTGTCCCTTCATGTGAAGATTACTTATTGATTACTTACAATGATGGCCACAGGTGTGATAAACATCCACGTGATATACCAGTAAATCCAAAAGGCTGGATGCTGTATGCCAACCATCATCTCAATATCATGTCGGAAATTATTTATGCCTAGAGAAAATATTGAAAGTCATATAAACTAAAATGAAAATAGAGGTCATAAGTTTTCCTCAGAAAATTCAAGTGGCGTATCCAGGATTTTGGAGAAAAAAATTGTTAAATAAATTACAGTTAATATTACAACAGATACTGCTTGTGCATTTTGTCGAGGTCCTGGTTCTTCTGTTTCGGAAAATCATTACTTTTATTTAATTATCTACTACTGCTGTTTCATTTTATTATAATAACGCAGTAATATAACACATAAATGCTACTGTAATGATTGCACAAACGGTTATATTCATATTATATGCGTTATTTACCAAGAGAATGCAGAACTCTAACGTATAATTTGAATTCGTGTCTCACTCATATAAAATATATAACAGAACCAACTAAACCTGGCCAAATCAGTCAAATCATATCAGCGGCGTTTAAGAAATAACAACCAATTAATCAATTAACAAGAAATGATTGTAACAGGATGCTGTTACGAAGTCTCCCAAACGAAGCTCCCATAATTTGTAATTCCCAGGGTCGCCTGACATTGGGCAACGTCCAGTGAAAATTGGTTTGGTCCAGTAAAGTTATATGCATTAGTGATGCCTGGGGACTAACCTTGTATATCATTCAAATCATCTTGGCATGACAAACCAGAATATATATGGTTTAGGGGTTGGGATCTCGACCATTTATGTCATTCAAATGTTCATTACATGACGAACAGGACATATATGGTTTAGGGGTGGGGATCTCAACCATTTACAAGATATTAGAACATTGGGGATGGAGGAACCTCTGGGGATTGAACGTATACATCATTCAAATGTTCGAGACATGACAAATAGGAATATATATGGTTTAGGGGTGGGGATCTCAACCATTTACAAGATATTAGAACTTTCTCAAATGGCAGGCGGTCGGGTGACCCCTGGGGACTAACCCTGTTTATCATTCAAACCATCTTCGCATGACAAACCAGAATATATATGGTTTAAGGGTGGGGATCTTGACCACTTACAAGATATTAGAACTTTCTTAAATGGCAGGGGGTGGGGGTGACCCCTGGGGACTAACCCTGTATTTCATTTGATGTGCTTTATCATGGCAAACCAGAATATATATGGTTTAGGGGTGGGGAATTCGACCATTTACAAGATATTAGAACTTTCTCAAATGGCAGGGGGTCTGGATGACCCCTGGGGACTAACCCTGTATATCATTCATACCATCTTAGCATGACAAACCAGAATATATATGGTTTAGGGGTGGGGATCTTGACCACTTTCAAGATATTAGAACTTTCTTAAATGGCAGGGGGTGGGGGTGACCCCTGGGGACTAACACTGTTTTTCATTTGATGTGCTTTATCATGGCAAACCAGAATATATATGGTTTAGGGGTGGGGAATTCGACCATTTACAAGATATTAGAACTTTCTCAAATGGCAGGGGGTCGGGATGACCCCTGGGGACTAACCCTGTATATCATTCAAACCATCTTAGCATGACAAACCAGAATATATATGGTTTAGGGGTGGGGATCTTGACCACTTAGAAGATATTAGAACTTTCTTAAATGGCAGGGGGTGGGGGTGACCCCTGGGGACTAACCCTGTATTACATTTGATGTGCTTTATCATGACAAACCAGAATATTTATGGTTTGGGGTGGGGAATTCGACCATTTACAAGATATTAGAACTATCTCAAATGGCAGGGGGTCGGGATGACCCCTGGGGACTAACCCTGTATATCATTCAAACCATCTTAGCATGACAAACCAGAATATATATGGTTTAGGGGTGGGGATCTTGACCACTTAGAAGATATTAGAACTTTCTTAAATGGCAGGGGGTGGGGGTGACCCCTGGGGACTAACCCTGTATTACATTTGATGTGCTTTATCATGACAAACCAGAATATATATGGTTTAGGGGTGGGGATCTCGACCATTTACAAGATATTAGAACTTTCTCAAATGGCAGGGGGTCTTGATGACCCCTGGGGACTAACCCTGTATATCGTTCAAACCATCTTAGCATAACAAACCAAAATATATATGGTTTAGGGGTGGGGATCTTGACCACTTACAAGGTATTAGAACTTTCTTAAATGGCAGGGGGTGGGGTGACCCCTGGGGACTAACCCTGTATTTCATTTAATGGGCTTTATCATTTAAAACATTTTCAATTAAAAAGATTGTGTCTATCACAAACGGTTTTCAATTTATAATCATTTGAAAATTAAAAAAAATAAAATCCCATAGGGTTCTATAGTAAAACCCTCTTTTCTTTTTGCCCCTCAAAGTACCCTTTTATAAACCCCAGTGCACAAACAAAACCCTGATTGCACCACTAGACATGTTAGTCTAACATATTGTGAAACCCTAAGTTAATCTGACAAGCGGTTTTGGAGATCGGGTGCGGACAAGTTCAAATTTAATAGCGGCGGAAGAAGAAGAAGAAGAAGAAGAAGAATAATAATAATAACTGAGCAAAAACAATAAGTCTTCCCAAACTTCGTTTGGGAGACTTAATTACCCTTCCGGAACACCTGACATCACGCCCGGTTTTTGTTGGGGTTCGTGTTGCTCAATCTTTAGTTTGTATGTTGTGTTTTGTGTACCGTTTGTTTGTCTTTTGGTATTGTTCTTTTTTGCCATGTCGTTGTCATTTTATTTTCGACTCATGAGTTTGAATGTCCATTAGGTATCTTTTGCCTCTCTTTTAATCAAATTAGTGATTACCTTCTTCTAACTGCCAATTAACACCCAACCCAAATGTTGTCTCTTCATTCTCTAAATTGTTTTAGAGGTCACCTCTCTTACACGGGCAGTGCTCACTTGTTTTCGCAATGCAAATATTGAGGTTAAGATTACAACACTTTAACTTGTAAAGTATTCAAAACTATTAAAATCAATGTAGCATGACAATGAGGCAGGACTGCAAGTTCCCCGTGGAAATGAGATTTGCCAATTTATTGAATAACCATAAGTTGTTGCCCTTAACGTGTTCTAATTTCAAACTTTAAAATGTAAAACTTTGCAAAAGTTTCAAAGTCAACAGAGCACGGTTGGATCGAATAATCTTTGCTGAAATGAGATGTGCAAATGCAAATCAAATGTCATTTACTTATAAGAAGTGTCTAATCTTTTTACAAGTTATAAATTCTTTTGTTTGAACCAGAAGGATATCGAACCCAGGACACATACAATGAGGCGGTAGTTCTTTCTCGAGGTTACACTGAGTCAAATTTATATTCACTGTTGATATTTCGTATAAAACATTTCATACACGCCATGCACCTTTTCATATACCCGATTGAGACTGATTCGCACGGCCTTACCATAACAGATCTAGCTCATCTTTTCTCATACATACAAGTCAAACCTGATACCATTATGCAATCTGTGTTAATGCTAAGACAGATTAAGTTTAGCACAATCTGCTCGTTTTGCATCCTTCATTGTTTGTTTTATAATACTCACCGTAAACATAGCATATCCCTACCAGTTCACACAAACTGACAATCATAAGGTTGTAACTTCCCGAATACCAATCTATCAGTGTCAATAAGTATATTCCGCCCTGAAAATGTATTTTTTCTATTGTTAGGTGTAAATGTATGAAGATGTTGGTAATAGTCCATGCTTTCATTAAGTGGATATAATACCAATATTTATCAATTTAAGCCAAAAATCCCCTTATATAAAAATCAAATATTGGATACAAACAGTTGTCGATTAGTACATAAACCATTAATTTTGCATTTACAGGTGAAAAATGCTGCAAATGAAAAGATAGTAATTCAGCCATATCCATGTGAGACATGCTTGTACAGACAATGAAACACTGGGATAACCATTTTGCCAAAATACCACTTTTGGGAGGCTCTACACTCCCTGAAATTAATGATTTAATCAAAATTTTCCACGGTTGATAGACCTTTTTTTGAAGAAAAAAAACACCAAAACTCACAACACTGTAACAAGATGTAATTATAATGTTTCCGAATCATATGGAAAAAATAAAGCATTGGTTATATAAAACAATGATTGATTGGTTGATTAATGGCTGCTTTACATCCAATCGTAATTATCACAGATATATTGAGGACAAAAATGGAAATACGATATATGAATGTACCCTCTTGTCTACTAGAAAGACACGCTTTGTCGGATTTTAAACGTACTAACTCACTAGGAAATAGTCCACAAAAAGACATATCACTTTTGTCAGATAAATTATTCTGACTCCGCGCCGACAAGTTATTGCTCTTACTCTTTGATATAGCATGCTTGGCGGGAAGCAATTTATAGTAACTTTACGTTTATTTGATCCAATGAGGAATCAACCTCAAATTTCCCGCATTTTAGGCGAGCAAACTATCACGAGACCACGAAGGCGGTTTAAAACAAGGGAAAACTTTATTTTTCACACTGTCAAACGACAGGAAATCTGTGAATTACACCTACCAATTCAAGATAGTCACCCAGATTTCTGATATGTCAAAAATATTAAAGTAAAAAAAATCATTTATTTTATAGATCGTTCTCTCAAAATTAATGTCCTATTTTCTGAAACCATAACCCATATAATGATTATATCAAAAATCACTTGTGATCAAGATGATATGTGTCTTATTCTTTTTTTTTTGCCTTTTTCTGTCCATTTCTTCTGGGAATAATGTGTTTTAAAAAATGCAAAGATATATGAAATATAATTATTGTCTTACTTACCTTGCAAACTTGAGGCATACCCAGCAAAAATCCAATGACACAGAGAATAAAGGTGAAAAGTGTTTTCTTTGGTCTGAGAAAGACTGGAAACGCATCAATAAAACCACTTATGACAGTTTCCATCATCGCAAACTATAATAAATATCAAATCAATAAGTAGTTATTGTTGCAGTGTTATCTTTAATTATGCGTTGATACACATTTCTTTGCAGATGTCTCTATAACTAAACCCTCCTAAGCACACTTACAAGAAGAAAGCCCATGCAAATGTATGTCTTCCTACTCTCAGTCTAAATTCAACAAAGCAGTTTAAAAGAGTACAGACCTGATATATCCGGTGTTCAGTTCTTTTGAAGGAATGTTAATAGTTGAAAAATCATAGAGTGTAAAAACAGACAACAGACACAAATGTGCAACTTTAATCATTAACTCATTATGCAACATATAGCAGAAGTTTAGACAACATAAACGCACAAATACATAAAGTGTTGATGTAGGTTTAGCTTATCCGGAATTAATCGTATTGCTGTCTTAGTCAAATTCAAGTAAATAATAACGCCTGTGTAGGAAAGGGAACTTACTGCATCGATGTTAGTATAACAGGCATATTTGTAGTGGCTACATATCAAGTTCAACGATACTTTCAAATGGTTAACTAGCATATTATGCACAAAAAAAAAAGACTTACCCAGTACATTGAAAGTTTTTTGTCATATCATTAAGTCACACTATTGCTATCTTGGCATTATTTACTTTTAAAAAAAAGTCAACCGTAGGTGAAATATAAAAATCGTTTTATACAATTTTTTAGACAAAATTAAATTGGATCAGGCTTCAATCAAGCTCTCGTTGATGTATTTTGAAATACGACTCTTCGTTAAAAAAACCCGAGGGATATCAAACATGAAAATATGAAATAAATATTGATATATAACCGAGATCTAACTTAAAGGAAATTAACACCATCGAATTTAAATGATTTAGATATCCAAATGAATTAACAGTTAATGCCTTTGTTAGTCTTGTATGTTTTTTTTAAATTTTAGTTCATTTATATGTTTTGGAGTTTAGTGTGACGTCCATTTTCACTGAATTAATACACAATTTTATTTAGAGGCCAGCTGAGGACCACCTCCGGGTGCGGGATTTTCTCGCGTCGTTGAAGACCCATTGGTGGCCTTCGGCTGTAGTCTGCTCTTTGGACTGGTTGTTGTCTCTTTGACATATTCCCCATTTCCATTCTCAATTTTATTTTGAACCTTTTTGTCATGGACGTAATTGGTCAATTGTGAAAATGTTGGAACATATTGCGCCATTTGTCTATGACTTTTTTTTTCATTTCATTTCATCCATTACGTTTTGTAAGAATTACCTATTCCAATTAAGTACGAAATTTATACAACAGTATTTAACAATTAATATTTTCATTATCTTAAGGAGGTACCTAACACTACAGGGAGATAACTCTGTAAAAATCAGCTAAACGTTTTAATTACGTTGTATTGTTAAGGAAATATTTAGCTTCTCAATGATCAAAATTAGTGTTTGTCAAACTGCTATATAACCAATGAAATTTTTCTGATAAAGTGGTTGGTACAAATTTTTGAAATTTTTATATTTTTGTCAAAGGGTCAAAGTAAACATTTTGTCAAAATTTTATGAAAAATAAACGAGCCAAATTAATATTAGTCAAGGTGTTGGATACCACCTTAAATAACTTCCAAAATATATGATAGTTATAACAAATTTATATTATTGCTATGGTTTTTATATTAATTTTCTACAATGTTCATCGTTTAAACATCTACACCGCAATATGATATCCCAAAATATACACCGAATACCTAGTGATGAACACAACGTCTAGATCAATAAGTGTTCTCGATGAAGAAATAATAACTAAGATAACATTTTGTACTCACAATGATTCATGTCCTTTTTCATTTCCATTATTATTTAAAGCTGAAGTAAGATAAGTTAAAGAAAATTACATATAGCCATAAGTGTCTTAAATTTATATTTGCATACGCACCTGACTGTCAAGTCCTAAAGTGAAAATCATGAAGAAAAACAGGAACGAGAAAAATGCTGGAGCAGCAGGCATCCTAGCAATACCTTCCGGATACGCAATAAACGCCAATCCTGGGCCTACAATAAATGTATTATTTACGTAAAACGGATAATAATGTACGAGATTATCTATAGATAAGTTAATTGAAACTACTTGGTTTGGGACACAGCGATAATGATGCATGTTTTATAATTTGCAATCAAACGACTGTCATGAAATCATTTGTATGGCTTTTGGTCAGGCACTTTAACAAAATGCTCTCCCCTTTTGTCCAAAAATTGTGAAATGAAAAAAAACAAACAGAAAATAAAGGAAATGAAAGACGAAGGATTTCCCTTCTGCTTAAACTGTATTAGCACTAAACAAAGTAGTATCCCTTGAGTAGGGCTCTCGGTATAACTTTAGTGTCTCGGGTTGCTACAAGTGTGATATTGTAAAAAAAAATCTCTATAAAGCATTTTAATTAGAATTCACATTTATCACTTACAGGTTATATGAATAACTGACGTAAGCATTGCTTTGAGTGTTCTGATAAAGATTAATTTGCATTGGTAGCTACTCCATATCATAAAACATGGTTGAGTAATTATAAAATCATCTCACCCCCTAAAGTATGTACTCAGTCAAAGTCTGAAGCCTGCGGTCTAATCAGATCAACATTGCCTGTCAATTTTTTGTTGCTGTTTGTGCGTAGCTTAAATATGGACATGGATCCTTTCCTTTCAGCCACTTTACATTTTCCGAAAGGCTTATAGAGTTAATCATTCAGTGTGCATTGTTTCTCTGTGTTAATTTAGCCAAAGTGGCATTTCATGGTGTTTTCTTGTTTTCACCTTGATGTGTACCTTCTTAATGGATTTATGAGATTTAAACATTTTCTTTAAGATTAACTTGTACCTAATTTACCCTCAGCTTATTTTCTTTTTTGGTCCATTAGCAAACTTATCACACCTATAATGCACATGCAGAGAAACTTAAAACCTTTACAAAGTCTTACCCGAATCAACAACGTCTTTCACATCCCTGTTCAGTGTATGTGCCATAAATCCAAGTAACGAAAACACGGCAAACCCAGCAAACACACTAGTACAACAGTTTATCAAGGTCACTAAGAAAGCATCTCTGAAAAAAAGTATATCAAAAAGGGTTTAAAATGGAAATTGTTTCGAAAAAATATTTAAAATCAAAAGGAAAGAAAATGTGAAGAAATGCAAGGTTTATTCAAACGTCGGAATAACTTTTTAACACACGTAAATTCATGTATTTAAACGTAAGGCATTTGTAAACAGTATAATGTAGAACAAGTCTATGTATCTGCAAGAAGTATACAAAAACAACGCTTGTGGAACAGTGAATTACCCAAGCTCCCTCACTAACCAAAAACAAACAATTGTTTAACATTTCATACCGATATAACATGTTACTTTTATTATTTTTCCCTTAGTTTATTTATTTTGTATTTACATTGTATCATAGGTCAAATTTATTTGTTCAGTGTATATTCACTGGTGTTAATATGTCCTTTGATTGAGTTAAGCTGTTTCAGCTGATATTTTATAGTGTGTCTTTCTATGTTGTGATGTTACACTATTGTTTCGAAAAAAGGGTGAAGGTTTGGTACCATTAAAACGTTTAAACCCGCTGCATTTGTTTGCACCTGTCCTAAATCAGGAATCTGATGTTCAGTAGTTGTCGTTTGTTGATGTGGTTCATAAGTGTTTCTCGTTTCGCGTTTTTTATATAGATTAGACCGTTGTTTTTCCCGTTTGAATGGTTTTACACTAGGAATTTTTGGGGCCCTTTATAGCTTACTGTTCGGTGTGAGCCAAGGCTAGGTGTTGAAGACCGTACTTTGACCTATAATGGTTTACTTTTATAAATTTTGACTTGGATGGAGAGTTGTCTCATTGGCACTCATACCACATCTTCTTATATCTAAATAAGCTTTAATAGTTTCAATAAAAAATAAAATTCCCCTTACATGCATATTGTATTAGCTTAAAAACGTGCAATCCAATCCAATGAACTTATAATTGTCAGCAATAGACAATTTACATGACCGCGAAAGAACAAAACTGCGAAATTGTTTACCAAAATCTAAAATGTTTTTTTTTTTCAAAAAAAAACTGCTGATGTAAAACGCTTTAAAACACCATGAACTTTATTTTAATTGATTTATATAATATACACCTGATGGTATTGTTCTTGAACCTATTGTAGCTCGACATTGTGAGCAAACCTCCAAAAGCCACACCAAGGGAATAAAATATCTGTGTAGCAGCATCGCCCCATACCTACAATTAAAGGATTTGATGTTGTATAAGTTAAGTTCAAGGACGTGTACCTTTGTTATAAGCCAATTCAATTAGAATTAGCAAATTATTGTTTCATCATTTTGTTAAGTTAACATCCTCAAAATTGTAAAAATTTTTGAATCCAAATTTTAAAGAATTGTATTTTTTTTATGACCACAATTGACAACCGGTAGTACTTCTTAAATTTGTTTACATACACAACTGATACAGATATCATTTTATAAAAGGAATGTTTGATAACTTTACGGAAGGTAGGTTTATCCTATATGCCATAATTGCTGCTTTGTGATAACCGATTGATTCTGTCATTCAGTGAGGTGCAATTGGCCAAATCCTTTCATTTTAAACGATTTCTTCCGGTATATTTAAAACCTCATCATCTTTAAATCTACAATCTAAATTTTAATCCTGTCCAGCGGATGTAAATACTTGAATATGGAAAGGTTTTTTCTATATAAATTTCAGAAATCCAGAAAGCGTAGATGTACATGTATTTCCGTTAGGGTCTCTGAATTTGAAATCTGAATTATTATTTCAATAACTTACCTTGGGATCTTTAAGTTTTTGCCAGTCTGGTACCATGTAAAACTCGATTCCTTTTTCGAATCCTTCTAACGTCAAGCCGCGGATTAACAAAATGACTAAGACAATGTACGGAAAAGTTGCCGTGAAGTACACAACCTAAAACCAAAGATGATACTCTGAGTTCTAATTGTAAAAAATGTGCACGTTACTGATCCTATAATATGCATAATTGAAAATTACACCTGTCAATTCTGCAGAAGACCATATCTTTTTTTCAAAATAGAAACACCGAATTATTCAGTATTTCACATAAAGCAGACACACACATAAATGGTTAAGCAGTTATTCTTAGAAATGATTCACGTTGCTTCCATTTACAAATGAATTCAAAAATATCTCTAGTCAGCGGTCACTCCGTAGTACTTGAAAGATTTAAGATGGACACATTGGTTGTTAATGTTGCCTAGATAAAAAAAAATTAATGTACCGCGACTTCACTAGAGAAAAGTGTTTCACGAAACTCCGCATCAGTGAATACAACCGATCAATAGATGATGATAAAATGGATGGCTGCTTAACGTTCAGTGGCAAATTAAATGCAAATTCAGGACAAGAACATGTTAATGTGATATGGATAGGAATCCAACTTTGTACTAGACAGACACGCTGATATAAAAAAGAAGATGTGATATGATAGCCAATGAGACAACTCTTCACAAGAGACCAAATGACACAGAAATTAACAACTATAGGTCACCATGCGGCCTTCAAAAATGAGAAAAGCCCATACCACATATTCAGCTATAAAAGGCCCCGAAATGAGCCGATTTTTAACGTGCTAGTTCACAAGACATGTCACCCTACTCAGGCCAACCAGTTTTTGGTATAACTACTAAATGACGTGTGCTTAGTGAAGAAGAAGCAAGGAGATACTTAGTATCCCTTTCCAAGTCTTTATTTTGACCCGACGCGGATCGAACCATGGCCACGAGCTCCCACACTCGAGGCGAACACGATACCACAAGACTACTGAGGCTGTTATCAATTAACATAGAAGGATCAATATTTTCAAAATCCTTAAGACTGGCTTTGTAAACTATATGTACATGCAATTGAAAACGAGAAATACCTCTACAAATGTAATATGATTAAGAAATTAAGATGAGACCTTATAAGGTAGATTGGAAAATGAATTTATGTCACTCCCCCTAAGACCAGAACATTTTAAGATCTTTTGAAGAAGTCTTTAGAATTGAAGATTGGAGTACTTATGCTTATTGCATTGATAAGGATTCATTTCTGCTCTGACTTTTCATTGGTCATAAACATTTAAGTCGTTTGTTATTTACCTGGTAAAGGTCCGTTTTTACTATTATTCTCAAAATCATTTCCTGTATTTTGACTTTCATCCTATTAACCTAGAATGTGTTTGCTGACGATATATACAGAAACATGTAGCGTGTACAATGATATCGATAGCATGCAATAATATCACAGCAGGGAATACAAAAGAAACAGCTAATGCAAGACAAATGTGTTGTGCATGCTCAAATCTGCACCACACGTTTATGTGAAGTCTGTTTCGAAAATGTAGTGGTGTTGACGGTAAATTACTTTATTGCGTAAACCCCTGAGGGTTTACGCAGTATATATTGGACGATGTCCGTAGTCTTTCGGAACACCGGATGTTATTCGGAATACATCTGTTCTTTCTAAGACCACCTTTCATATACATGCGCATTAGCTTATTGATTGACCTGTTGAATAAGCATTAGCATCTTAAAGTTGCTATAGAGATATGTTACATATGATGCGAAATTTATTATGATGCAAGATACTTTAATAAGCATTTGAATACTTATTTGCACGCAATTACAAGCTGCTAATATTTACCTACATATATGCCTACTTATTTTAATTAGAGTCGAACGTTGAAACCAGCTGTGTCACAGTTTAGATATGAGATAAGATTTCATGTAAACAATGCGATTTATATTCGGAACAAGAATCGTTAAAACTAAAATCTATAAAAGAAGTATTACTAGCATTTCATTTAAGATTTTGAGTCTAGAGTAGATGTACTTGATGTACAAAGCAGGCTAATTCACTTTTTTATACTGAAATTAAAAAGAAGTCTTTCTTGCACTTTATTAAAATTTTACGTCTAGAATAGACCAAGGACGTATATAATCTATTATACGATCTTGAATGGATGTAAAAAACGAGGATTTTTCGAAAAAAAAATATCGTTTATTAAAAATAACGTTTAAATTAATTATGAAAGTACATTGCAAATTGAAATACAGTTATTTTCTTTGTTTAAATATTGCAACATTATTTCCTTTTTAAAAAACAAGGAGGTCATATAACACAATTAATTAGATTACAAGACAGTAAGTGAGTATAAAATTGTTTATAATTGATACTGAGAGAATCTTAATTATATAGAGCGACGCCTGTTGTTACCATATGTTGACATAATGGCTACATTGAAAGTCCATGCAGGTGGAGTGAGATGTAGACTTTACGAATGAGCTAATAGCCTATTCAAATGATTTTTTAGTAATCTAATTTGGAAAAAATAGAAAGACAATATGAATACTAAAAAAAATGAGGTTAATGATTTTTTTTCTTATTATAATTACGTTTTTAAATGGGTTTTTTTAGTCGTTAAATACTTTAGGATACCTCACATATGTCATGCTCTCGTATAAAACTGGTGCAATTGAAAGAAAAAATCGTCACAAGTGAAATGCAGATCGGCGCAAATGCAAAACGCCGGTTTAAGATAAATTAACTAAGAGATTTACCCCTTACTAAATAAATAAAATCTGCTATTTGTTTTGCCTTTCTTAATACATTTGTCCTGCCTTTCTTAATACATTTGTCCTGCCTTTCTTAATACAATAATCTGAAATCCATTTTTAATTCATCAAATGGTCGCGCGGTAAAAATCTTTCTCCTGTCTTACTTAAAAATTCTTATACCCAGTTATATTTCATCAAATGGTTGCTCGCAACAATAAAAATCTTTTTCTCCCCACCGTACCCAGAGGAGGGACGACATTGAAGGTGTCTCCCACTTACTGTATTTTTAAATCCATGAATAATTTATCAAAAGGTAGCTCGCCAAAAAAAAATCTTCCTTTTGTTTTCCTTAAATAATTTTTCTTAAACCTTTTAATCTATCAAATAGTCGCTTATAGCAGTAACAAGGATTTTTATTTTTTATGATTTCAAGCTTAGGTTTTATTTTATGTACTTGCATTTGTGTTGGGATATTAAATGTTATGTTTTTCCCTCGAGGTTTTTCCTTAATAATTGATTGGGAACTTTTCGAATACAGCCTTCAACACAAAGGCTTGGCTCACATTGAACTGCATACTAGGGGCCCCAAGACACTGTTATAAAATAATTCAAACAGGAAAAATTAAATCTCACTTAGCTTCAAACCAGAAACAAAAAGCAAATATGAACTATGAACTACACCAAAAAAAACCCACTAAACAACATGCTTCTGACTTGGGACATGTGCTTATGAATGCACCTGTTTTAAAAGAATTTACATACATACCATAAGACAGTAGTATAACTTTACCATGTAAAAGACACGCTTTAAAAAAAAGTTAATGAAAAAACGTGTTCAAATAAAAAAAGGAACACCTTACAACAGTTCATAAATGTGGACTTTAAACAAACTAGGGCCCCAAGACACTGTTATAAAATAATTCAAACAGGAAAAATCAAATCTCATTTAGCTTCAAACCAGAAACAAAAAGCAAATATGAACTATGAACTACACCAAAAAAAACCCCAATAAACAACATGCTTCTGACTTGGGACATGTGCTTATGAATGCACCTGTTTTAAAAGAATTTACATACATACCATAAGACAGTAATATAACTTTACCATGTAAAAGACACGTTTTAAAAAAAAAGTTAATGAAAAAACGTGTTCAAATAAAAAAAAGGAACACCTTACAACAGTTCATAAATGTGGACTTTAAACAAACTAATGTTTAGAAATGGGTATTCAGTGATAATTTCAGGTTTGATAATGTTAGTTGTTTTTTTGTTTTCAATTTATTTTGTTTATTTATAAGTACAAGGTGTAAGCTGTTTTGTCTAGGCTGTAAATAGCTTTCTTAATGAATTGGTTTTGGTCATCAAGGTGAAGAGAATACAGTGCAATTCAAATTATATATATTTACAATTAGACTTGCAGGCCTTTTTTTCATGTCCCACAATTTAAAATATAAGAAAACATCAAAATAAAAAGGGACATTAAAAAAATATCTTCAAATCGAGTTAAAGGTTTTAAAAAGTTTTTGTTTTTAACAAAAGAGGTTTGTCATCTAAAACTTTTAAGAGCACAAAGCACACAACTTAAAATTGCCAATGCTTACTACCCTAAGCATCACAAAAACCTTGCAGAGCAGGTGTAAGGATCTTAATAATGAACAATATCAAGCCATTGTTCAAATAACCATGAACATATCTCAAATTCCAATAAAAACAGCTATTAAGTTTCACGTATTGCATTTCTTTTTTTTTAGCACAAATAATCATTAATTGATTAAATTTCTTCACATTTGTATTTGAACATAAGCCTAGAAACTAACTCTTATCTAAAAAAAAAACAATTGTCTAATATTTAATGCCAAACAAGCATTTGGGTTTACGATTGCATTTCTTTTTTTAAAGAAAGCAACTTGTAATTACAAGTTATTGACTTCACAAATGAAATTCTCTATTCATTCCGTTGGTTAATATAGGCGATCAATTGGTTTTGTCAGGTTTGAGGGACTGCCTCTTGTATTTACCTTGGAGTTCGGTATTTTTGTTAATGCTTTTTCCCATGACGTAATTGACCATATTGGTGAATATGGATTGGAATGTATTTTTCATTATTTTCTTGTGTAAATGCAATGCTAAGGACTGCGTTTAATAGTCTTAATTAGATAAACGAAAATTGTAAAGGGTTCCACATAACCCATTCACTGTCTCGCCTGCGAATGCTGATGTCAGTGAAACGTTGTAATGGTCACTACCAAAAACTAAGTCTATTTGTCAGTAAAGAACGGATAAAGTTTTTTGAAATTGCTTTTTTTTATATTCTTTCCTTAATCTGGCAGAAGCTTTTGTTTAAATTTCTAACATTCCATAAAGCTTAAACATAGGAGTTGGTGTCTGAAAATTTTTATCCTGGGTCGAATGTAAATGTTAACAGAAAAAGTCCATCTAAAAGTAAAATACTGAAAAAAGTGCTTCAGAAATTATCTACTTATAAACAAAATATTTTGCCAAGGTTTCATCAAATTCGAAATAGGTTTGACAAAGGTATTGGTGTTAACTCTACACAGACTGTACCTAAATGCTAACTAACTACTTTAACCGCAGACTGAACCCAAATGCTGACGCCGCCGACGCCGACGACGGAATGTATAATAGCTATGTATCGCTTTCGTGACAATATGTCACAGGCTCGACACAAAATGTATTTTTAATTTGAAATTAAGGAAAGAAAGAAAGAAATGAAAAATTCCCACAATTCAACATCATTAAATTCATTGATGACGAAAAAATTTGTTTGTTTGTTTGTTTGTCTAATTGTCATTTGTCTGATGCGTCTCATTTTTTGGGGTCATATTCGGCCTTTACCTTTCCAGATGATTTGATGCCCTTCATCAAGCAGAAGAAAATAACAACCCATGTTAATAGTAAACATATAACCAACTTCAAACTAACACCTCCAAAGTCACCAAATCCATTCGCCTCATGCAGCCGTAAGACATATCGTCTGAAAAAACAAAAACGTGCAGTTATGTTACAGTATTTAACCAATGTATTACTGATTTTTTGGTAGTAACTTGGTGCTTAAAACAATGTTGATTAGCAATACACAAAATTAAAATGTATACCATAAATCCTTTTTTTTCTTAAATAATAAGAGGCTCTCCGTATTAAATGCAACATTAAAACCGTTAGCATAAATAACTGGCATAAAATTTCATTAATCTTTCACATATTAAGTATGGTTTGGACCAGCTTTGATACTTATGCACTCGAGATAATGAATAATAGGAAAGTTAAGTACAATAACCATAATTAGGAGTCAATAATTAACGATTTCCATTACTTACTTTCTTGTAGATCTTGTAACTTTTCCCTTCTAACAATTTCTCTCTATTTATCGTAGTTTTCAAGATAAGAGCCAAAACAAATTTGTTATACATATAGCTTTTTAAGAGCATCAACTCCTATACGGCATCCATTGGCGATTCTGGTCATAAGAGATATTTGAAGATCTTGGTTTGATGAAAATTTTGCTATTTATATTTTTCTTTTACAAAAAAATAAAGCAAAAAATAATGGACAAACGTTGTCATTTGAGGGCAATGGTTTCTAAAAGGAGCACATCATCAATTCTCATTATTTTACATATTCCAAGATCTTTTCTTGCTGATAAATTTTGCTGTTCAAATTATACTTTTGAAGATAGTAAAAATAAACATAAAAAAATATTAACGGGACATCATTTAAGAGTAATTACTCTTACACTGTATATGAAGTTGATCGACGATTTCGTTATTTTTTACTTATCTGTGAATTTTATTTTTTTTTGCTGCTCATGTTTACTGCTTATAATTTTTCTCCATCTAGTTAGTTTCAAAGATAATAGCCATAAACATATACCAAAGATTGGTAGAAAAATGTCTATTAGGGGCAACAATTATGTAAGAAGTCAATTGACAATTTAATCATTTAACGCCATTAAAGATCTTTTTTGTTAATTAAAACAAATTCTACCAACTATAATTTCTTGGACTTTAATTTTTTTTAAATAAAAATTAACAATTAACTGAAAACGAAAAATTCAGATTAAAAAAGAAACAAACAGAAATCTTGTAGAATCCTACCTGTCAATCTTTACTACCGTATAATTAACAAACGTATAAAAAACTGTTGACAAAAAAATAAAAAACACATACAAGACAATTTTAGATTTTTTTTTATAAAAGACAGACGAAATAAATAAAAAACCGCAAGAACATAAACATTAGTCCACAATTCATCCCCAGTTCCCCAAAAACCCTTTCACGCCAAAAAGAATATAACACATTCTTGTGGTTAACTTGGGTTCATCGGAAATATGAGCATTTTCCGTCGCGACCAGACAGAATTCCATCCATTTATTAAATTCATACTTACTCAAAGTATTCCTCACTTGGAAGTTTCAGATCCTTATCACAGGCTGTCGTATTTTCGATAAGAATAGACGAATTAAGATCATTATAAGTATTGTAGGTCACAGAAAATGATGCTGACAAGTTTGCTAGCAAACCGGTTAAACAGCTCGTATCCTTCAATTCTGCAATGGAATATAAGATAATCAAATTAATAAAAAGAAAACATAGAAAACAAACATGACATCATAAATGATATACAAAAAACATTAAATCTTTCCAATTGTTTGTAATTTCTCACTTGAGTTATATCTATTGCTGTCTGGATAGGTTCATGACAAGTCATTGAGATGCAGATATTAAAACAATTACGAGGTTTGAAAAGAAAAAAAAACAACAACAAAAAGGAATAAAAGGATACCAAACAAACAAACTTTGAACTAAGTTCTGCTGTATTTAAGATTTATGTTTAGATTAACTCACCCATTGCCGATTTTATTTTATCTGTTTCATTTGTCATACTATCGAACTTTGGATATGGTTTTTCTCTGCAGAGGTCTGATGCCCATTCGTGGTCACAGTGTTGCCACGGTAGATCGCCATCCATGGTTACAAATGATACCATCATGTAGTAAACGGAATACATAATGATAACATTATAGTAAGTACAAACCATGGCGCTTATCAAGACCATGGCCCATCCAACTCCTAAAATTATTATCATTATAATTATAATTATAGTAAAGTATTAAAGAATACATTAATGTAGAAACCTCTGTATGTCTTTTTGTTTTATCGAGTTGTTGGGTTTCACATTTCAATGACGAGTATACCTCATACCGCCTTGTGTTTGCATAGTCATCTATAGACTATAATAACTACATCTAAATCAGCTCTGTCTATTTTCAAACACATTTAATATATTCACACAAATTAATCCAATCAAAGACAAGGGCTCAAGCTGTTAAAAAAATAAAATAATAATTGTTATTGATGATGGGACATGGATATTAATTTATATAAGAGCACTGCTCTCGTTTCATAATACCAACTTTTGAATTACCTTTATATTTCGTATTTATTTACTCTTGAAGCTATAAATAACGAAATTACTTATAGAAATATGTTTACACAAATAGTTATTGAAAGAAATGTGTTGTTTAGTTTAAGACAGAACTTTGACTTATGTTATGTCGTTGTATTACAGCTTCATTGACATATATTTCATATCTCTTATCAAAAAATGTAATAAATGACATCTTCCCTAAGCAAACAAAAACCATTTAAAATCAAACTGATATTCACCATTTCTATTGCTGTCTGGGAAGGTATGATAAGTGCTTAGAAGTGAGATAACGAGAGGAAAAAAACATACAAACCAATATCAGACAAAAAATAGCGTCGTGAAATATATTTTTCCAAAATGCAAAAACAAATCTCAGATTGTGTTACATGTTTGTCTTATTCTTTAATTCAAAATTACAAATACGCAGAAGACTAACGTGTGGTAGATAATATATTTGTTTCTTACCCATGAAAAAAGGACTAACTGTCCAAACAGTAATAGGCCCCTGAGATGCAAACTGTCCAAAGGACAACTCAAAGAAATACAGTGGTATTCCAGCAATGACCAACATAATGGCATATGGAATGAGGAAAGCACCTGTAGAAAGACGAAAACATATAAGTTTTTATTACAAGACAAATTGTGTAGTAGAATCTCTATGTTTATATTCACGAAACTTAAAATCAAATGAACAACTTGTATTAACACCTTACTTCTATAGGAAAACATCTTGTATTCTATATATTTCAGAATTTATGGTAAATGTCTGTTTCAGATATATCAATGACTGCTTTCTCTTTCATCATTGGTAATTGTATAAATATATATTAGAAATCATACTTGTAAAAATATCAATGACTTGTTTCGCACTATTTTCCCCTTGTATTTGTACAGAGTACACGAACGATTGCAAACATATTTCCGGAATTTTAAACAACATTACATGGGCTTGACTTCCTATATCTTTATTCTCATAAAGCCAATGCATTACATAGGTACAGAGATACAAATACAACATTAAATATTTACAATATGTACTAATTAAGCGAGAGAAGTTACAAAAGTTACAAGCCAGGAGTACAAACACAAGTATTTATATTTTTTATGAAAGAACAAAGCTTCTTTAGAACTGATTTTCTTGTACTAGACATAATTTCAGAGAATTTAACTGTATTTTGACGTCCTGTAAAATATGCAGTTAAATACTCTTTTCGTTTTTGATGGAAAAAATTGCATTCAAATAAATAATGATATTCGTCACCTATCTGTCGATTGTTATATAGACTGCAAAAGTGGTTTTCTCTTATAACGTTTTGCCATCTTCCTGTTTCAATCGGCAATTTATTATTAGTGGTTCGAAATCGACATAGAACAATAGCGTCTTTGAAGTCCAAAATATTAAAATATTCCTCGAATTCCAAGTTTTTCTTAAAAATTTTGTAGTTAATACCTTTTGGCGAATTTTGAACGAGGGAATTCCATTTCTGGAGATATTGATCTAACAATCTCTGCTTTATAACAGATTTTAACCATTCTTTATTAATAAAGTTTTGTGTTTCCCATATATATGAGAAACCACAATCTTGAAATATTTTTTTGTACAAACAAAATCCATTTTATCTGCTCATTATTGTGATCGTTCATATGATGAGAAAGTTGATATAATACGAAGGAAAACTTTCCTTGTTTATCGGATATCAAATTTGCCAAGAATAGTACTGTTCTAACTTTAATATTTTTTTCGATCGGCTTGACAAAGTGATAAAAACAACTACTAATCTAACCTATTACTATATGATATTAACCCGTATTTCAAAGACGTTCTTTTTGAATAAACTTTGTTTTGAAACTCATCATGTATGTCTTTTATCTTGATTTATGAAATTTCTAGATTTTTATATTTACGGAATAAAGAGAAACATGAGCCTAATAATTGACGAAATATTTGATGTCATATTTTTTTTGTGGAGACAAATGACGACAATTGATCATCAGACATAATCTTTTTACGGACTTAATCTTTTTACATTTATGTTATTTGAACAAAATCTAATTTTTGTGAGAAAAATTTGGTTGATTATATAGGGAATCACTGAAGCATGACTGGAGCGGGCCCCCTCTTATTAAAATTTCTGGATCCGCCACTGCCGAGCCATTTATACATGTAGAAATGTCCGACTTGGAAATAACGAAAACCAGTAAATACCTTTAATACAAGATCTAGCGCAAAGGAAAAGTTTTTTTTGTCTTAAATTAACTTTGAAATTGTGAGTACACCTATTTGGTCAATTGCAAAATTTTATTAGAAATAGTGGCACATTTACATCCATATACAAACGTAAACAATGCACTCATCATTTAAAGTGCATATTTTTATGTTTGACAATTTGCCATATTTAAGTTTTACCTCCGCCATTTCTGTAACACAGATACGGAAACCGCCATACATTTCCCAAACCTACAGAAAATCCAATACATGATAGGATGAAATCCAAACGTCCAGACCAGTTTCCTCTATCTAAAATCTCCTTCTGTAAAATAGTGTATATTAAAGAGTCATTAGTTGTGAATCGGACATTTTTTAAAATATTTTATTGAAATAGTTATAATGATCGTTTTTATTAACAGCCAAGTTGAGCTATCCTTTGCGAACCAGAATTGCTAAATCACTGTAGAGTAAAAAAACTCACTAAAGACAGTCAATATTTGCAGTGAATTTAAAATATCATGAACAATTAAAACCACAGATGTAAATTGGTTATTAAGAATCACAAGATTGAACAATTTTCTGTTGAACATAACTGATTACTCAGATGTTTTATTGAGCTTGATCTTATAATTTCCTAAATAGCACACCATGGCAACAACTAAAGCAAGAAATACAACAACACATACTAATACTAACATAGATGTAAAACACATCTATGGTACTAGTCTGTAATCAAATAATATATTTTAAATGGAATTTTTAAACGAGGCGTATTTTTGATGAGCATGCAAGGTTGTGTTGGTGTGTTTTTGATTAACATGTGAATGTGTTGGTGATATATGATAAATGTGTGAGATTGTGTTGGTGTGTTTTGGATTAACGAGTGAAGTTGTGTTGGTGTGATTTTGATTAACGTGTGAGATTGTGTTGGTGTGTTTTTGATTAACGTGTGAGATTATGTTGGTGTGTTTTTGATTAACGTGTGCAGTTGTGTTAGTGTGTTTTTGATTAACATGTGAGTTTGTGTTGGTGTGTTTTTGATTAACGTGTGAGGTTATAATGGTGTTTTTGATTAATATGCGAGCTTGTGTTGGTGGGTTTTGGATTAACGTGTGAGATTGTGTTGGTGTGTTTTAAATTTGATTAACGTGTGAGATTGTGTTGGTGTGTTTATGATTAACGTGTGAAGTTGTTTTGGAGTGTTTGATTAACATGTGAGGTTGTATTGGTGTGATTTTGATTAACATGTGAGGTTATAATGGTGTTTTTGATTAACATGTGAGGATGTTTCGGTGTGTTTTTGATTAACGTGTGAAGTTGTGCTGGTGTGTTTTTGATTAACGTGTAAGGTTGTTTTAGTGTGTTTTTGATTAACGTGTGAGGTTGCCTTGGTGTATTTTTTACTTAACGTGTGAGGTTGTGTTGATGTATCATGAGTGTATGCGTTTTAATCGATGCATTCCGATTTAATACGAATCTTCTCTACAAAGTGTATGATATTTAAAAACACAATTTGTTAAGCCAAAAATATACAAGTCATGTGTGTTTCGCTTTGTTACGAAACAACATAATTTTCCTCTCTGTTGATCCACAGCTACCAAACAATAAAATATGGCGTCAGAAATGTAAACATGTTTGCAAATCTGTATAACCTGATCCGACATTTAAACGACAACCCGTAAAGGTAAATTTTGTAAGGCACATGGAAATATTAAAAAAAAACCAACAATACGAAAAGATTTTAAACATAATATGATGTGTGGTATGAAATATGAACTGGTGTCAATACAATCATAGAACGACGCATTATTGTTTTATAACCACATATATTAAATAGTTGTTTAAAGAATATGTTCTTCAGAACTATGACAAAGAGTTTTTTGATCTTGAAACAAACTGTCAAAATATTTTGATAACAACCAAGATAGAGATAATTCCAACAGACCTGGATTCAGGTAACCCCCTTTTACACCTGTTTACATTTGTTATTTTTTTTTTTTTTTTAAATTTCAGTAGATATATATTATGCATAACAAACATATAAAAGATGATGGCAGTATTTTGAAGGAAAAAAGTGCAAGGCAAGATTTTACTTTGTGTTATAGACGGTTGAACTTTGGACATGAGGAAAACACTCTCCTCATTTCTTATTAGTCAGGTATTATTTTAATGGTTTTTTTCTCTCAATTTATAAGATTTTTAAAATATACATTTAAATACAGTGAAAATTATCCATATGATGCGTTACAAAAAAGAATTGTTTGGAAAACGATTTAGCAAGGTTGATATGTACTATGCATTTGAATGGGTGATATACACACAATATTTACATAGTAGGATTAATATTGTGCTGTAAAATATAAAGATCTATTGATGTGGTAGTGCATCGAGTGTACCCCCTGACATACTGTTCAAATACATATGAGTGACAATATATCAATCCCTTGTTATATCAATCTATATTGAGCTAAATGTAAAATCAAATGACAACCCCTAGATTAGTTAATATGACATGACCCAATCTGATTAGTTGTGGATTCTCATAATATTATTAATAAGTAAATAATATCCGCCTTATTAATATAATATTTGATTTCATAAAGCATGAACTTCTTTGAATTTATATACTTATACTTATATAATCCCTCAAGATCAATTCCGCCACTCAATATATAGAACATGTCCCCTCCGAATCATTCCTACCTACAGTCAACAGGATAACTACTGCATGTATTTGTGTGATTGTTTACAGTCAGTGATTTGAACAAACGAATACAATTCAGATTATCCAAATACTCTGTAACTATTTACATGCATACCGATCTATAATACTAAAGGAACGAATTTATTGGATCTTTATGGCTCAAGGTTTAAAAGAATAGTGTATGCAGGTTGTTCATGCATCACAGAAAAGAAAAGATTTGAGGTATTCGTCCATTATTCACAATCAGTACATGGACAGGAAAATCACAATAGCGAAGGGACATTATTTATATTGCCATTCTATCCCAAAGACACAGTGAGGCCTTCAATACGGAGCAAACACTCTCACCTCAATGTAAGTTTAAGACGGCCCCTAGCACTCACATAGACTAGATCGATCGGTTTGAGCGGCATATCATATCTACTATCACAAGCGAAAACCTTTGTTTTGGTTACAAATGCATTGTGTATGCACTTTTGAAAATGAATCTCCCAATCTTAACAAATTCTGGAAACCTCAAATATTCATAATAGGTACTTAGTTTTTAAGACGCATCCATATATTTTTTTTCCCTCGAAAAACAGATTCTATTTTTAAAATTTTAAAGCCAATTAAAAAGGCTTAATTCTATTAAAAAAAAGGTACCGAAGCAATTTTTATATGAACCGAGGAAACTGGATACCATTCTAAATGAGTTAAGATGCTCCTCATCTTTCTTGAATCATGACTTGTTCAGAGTCAATATAGTTGCTGAACGATCTTGTCTATGTGGGTGCAACATTGAGAATGTACTCCATATCCTCTTCGATTGCTATTTATATACAGACCAGAGAGAAATTCCCATGACCTTATATTGAATGTTAAGTTACTGACATCTGGTACTCCGAACCTCTGCTATGAACAAAACAACCAGATATTTAAACATGTATTTTAATTTATTAAAAAGTCTGTGAGATTACTTGAGATTACTTGAGATTACTTGAGATTACTTGAGATTTCTATAATACTGAATAGTATATTTGTGGTATTTTCATATCATCACAATTACCAATTTTTCAGTAATTATTTGTGTCACCCTTATTTAATATAACTTCTAAAGTATTGTATATTTTGAAGTATTGTAAGCTCATATTAACATTATATTGTTATATATTGTTATTCGGAGCGAACTTCATAAGTACGATTTACCTGTGTCCAATCCATTTTACTTTGAGTAAATAAAATATGTTTTAACATTTTGTTCCGATACCTAATGTTATCAATGTGTTTCCCTCTGTATCGATACAGTTTTACAAATATTATAGACCGGCGGAAAAATTCTATGGTGTAATCTCTCAGCAGTCTTGACAAGCATTTACGATGTATATTTGAATAATGAGAATATTTTATATGATTGGCAAATACATTTAAAGCCAAATTAATAAAATATACCGAATGACTCGGCTGTATACATAAATATCTATTCAAAGTATCCTTCATACCTGCGCCTGCGAAGGTTACTTTCTAGTAAACACAAACAAGCAAGATCCATATGTATGTTATTGCTCCATTAGAGCACGTTTGATATATGCTCTTTCACAATATTTTCTGATCAAATTGATTTTTCTCGTTTTTTGTAAATGTTTCATTTTCTCTGGTTCTACGGAAATTGGTGTACATTGAAATAAAAGTATACCACTTCTTGTCCTCCACGATCTTAATAAACGTATTTACACTTTTGGTATTTAGCTATATTTTGCCTCCGAATGACCTTAGATCTACTCCGAATAACCTTTTGACGTCAGGCAACAATCACTTTTTAATTGTGACGTCAAATGTTTTGAATTATGATGTCAAAGTTTACGGGAACCTGTGTGATTTTACGTAATGGCGGACAAATTTGCATACAAGTGTAAATACGTCTATTATAAACAATGATTAAATTATATATATGTGTCGAACATTTGATACAGTTAGCATAACTAGAAAAGGTAATTATCATTAAATATAGATGCCTTCACACGAAGTACCTTGTATCAGTCCTATTTAAAAGGACATACATGTAAGTACTCAGATTGGAAATATTCGAAAGATTGTAAATGGCTCATGTTTATAATGGCATGAAGATTCCTTCTACAAACTCGAAACAACTATAATCAAAACATTGGAATGAAACACCTCCTTACTATATATATATATCGTCAAAATTCAATCATATATTGAAATATCATATTTTGACCCGCATCGATATTTTTATTAACATTTTAATCGTCGACTTGAATTCGTTCTAATAAATACATTTAATCATCCCTTTTACTTAAGGTGTAAAACACTCAAACAAGAAAGAACAAAGTGTATAGTATGTCACAGATAAACATGAAACCAGTAATACCACCAGTTTACTAGTTCTCAAATCATTCAGTTTGCGCACGTCCTTTGCGACTGTAATCATATCGGACTATGTATCAAGGGTCAAAATTCTGACGGAATTCCAGTTTGTTATATTTTTTAGATAATTACACCCTATATAAGAAAGCCGGATTTTGATTGGTTGATAGCCAGTGTATTTTTCGCATATTCTAATATTTTTTCCTCATTTCAAACGAATTTGCCTGTTTTTCACCACTGCCGGTGAATTTGCCTCAAATACCATGGTATTTGCCATTTTGGATATTCCTTTTTTACCCTCTCGAGCATTTTCCCGCCAAAATTTTTCGGATATGACGTTACATAAAAAAGCGAGCTAACGCGTACTATAGTACATGTATAATTCCCGCGGTTCTATGATAATATCCTCTTATCCTCAAAATTATGCATAAACATGTTAATGAATTAGTTTCAATCCAAATCTATTCGGTGTAATTAAACAGATATATCATGTTATGGAGGGGTATTTGCGAAAAATACCAGTCTTGGGACCGAATTTCCCTCGCCTAGCGGCTCGGGAAATTTTACAGTCCCTTGACTGGTATTTTTCGTAAAATACCCTTCCATAACATGATATATCTGTTCAAAATCCCCTCAACAGACAGTATTACTAAAAAAAAAAATGTTCTTTCAACTGCAGAAAAAAAAAGAAATATTACACAATATATGTGCAATCGGTCTTTGTGCGACTCACAAATAACTGCTGTCATAAACATGTATAGCAATAATAAATCTATTTGAAATAGCACTTTAATTTTAAAAGATTAGATTTATGACAACATATTAATAAATCTTGAATACATCTACTTTATATAAATTATATTAGTTTGTGAAAAGACATAATACACAAATCGATTGATGGTTACAATAAGAAAGTGCTCCAAATAAATACGTCCTCATGAAAAATAAAATAATGAAAACTGTATAATCACATTAAAGGTTATTAGCCAAACTGTCCATCCCGATTAAACAAACGTTCAGAAGAAACAATTTGTAAATACGACAAAACACTAAATTAGTTAAAAAGTACCTTGACATACATGACTCAATATTAATGTATCCTAACTCAAATGTCGTTCTGTTATAGGAATCTACTGGAATTGTACATTGTTATATGAGAAGGCTACTACTACTACGTGTGTTACACGACCTATAGTGTATTTAAGACATACTGTACAATGAATAAATTATAAGTGTCAAAGATTTAATACATAACTAGAAACACTAATTAGCATACAATTAAGATGCCTTCACATGAAGCACCGTGTATCAGTCTTATACAAAAAGTCATAATAAGTACTCATATTGGAAAATATCAGAAATATTGCAAATTGCTCATGTTTTAATGCATGAAGATTCCTTTTACATACTCAACCCTTGCTGAAAAGTCGATCGAACTGATGAACTAACAGAGAAATAAAGACATCTATAAAAACTTATTTTCCGAAAAAGGGGTAACAATGGATGCAGGTCGAGTCATTATTTGTGAAGTTTATTCAAGAAACACGTTTCGCAGGTACCGAAATCTGTATCGTACGTTTATATTCTAAAAAAGAATCAATAAATTATTACTCACCCAAAAAACAGTGTAAATTATTAAATGCAAGAATGTAAAATAAAGATATTTTAACATAATGTAAAAAAATTAGGAGGTTTGGTATGTTTGCAAACGAGACAAATACACTAGTGACAGAAGGACGAGGATGTAGACAACTATAAGTCACAGTACGATGATGAAAACTCATACTGTATAGTAAGCTATAAAAGGCAACGGTATTACAAAATTCGTTAAAAAGCAATAGAGAACAACAACATGTATAATCTGAATTTAGGAAACATCAACCTTTAATTAGTTTTGTCGAAATCCCTTAGGACTGATAAAGGAACATGATGGATGGACTGACCAAGTGACCAGAACTCAATGCGACTAAATGGACTAGATAAGTATAATCTGCTTTTAAAGTAGCATCAACCTTTAAAGGGGCACTAGCTACGAGATATATAAAAAATCTAAAATAGGATTTTTTTTGTTCAATCATTAATGAAAGTGAAATAGTGAAATAACTATTCGCTTTTAGCAGCCAGTATGGTTCAATTTTGTCAAAATAAGCTAAGAAACATTGATGACGAATTATTCACTTGCAAGTGAATAATTCGACCTCATTGAATCCGTGTTCATGTGAACTTTAATTTAACCCCTTAGCTAGAGATGGATAACGCATGAATTGTTCGTGTAAAGTTATTTAAAGGAAAAGAATGTCAACATTGAAAGTGAAACAAAAGTAAATCATTTGATTGACTGATTCGATCCACAAAAATCATTCTTATACAGGTAAAAACGATGATAAACATATATTTTTAAACTTTAATACGAAATTAAAAAGACATAAAAAAATCCCATTGCACGAGGTCGCTTAATCTATTTATATCTATATTTATGTTTACATCGCGTATATGGTCATCGAACGACTTCGGAGGTCAACTCGATAGTTAATTAGATGGCGTCTAGACTTAAATACACACGAAACGAAGCTACATATTATCGAGCCCATGCCCTGTAAATTGTTTATTTTAGACTTTAAATAGTTTGGATAAATGTTTTACATTGTTATAAATCAAATATGAGAATTTGAGTCAAATCGGTGAACATGAATTTGACAGCTAGTGCCCCTTTAACGGATGTCGTTGAAATCCTTTCAAACTAATGAAGGAAAAAGTTGGATGTACTGACCACATGACCGATACGCAATGCGACTGAATAGACTAAATTTGTAAAATGAGCGGAAAATGCCGGAGGTTGAACCATAGTTACACCACTTACCCAAACTGTTTGAGTTAAAAAAAGGTATAAAGACTTTAAGTGAAAAGGTTTGATTAGTGTCATTATTTGATAGGCTTGCTTGTCATAAATTATCACTTTATATTTTATAGAATATCTTATGTTCTCATTGTGATTTTTACGTGGATGTTTATTTCTTCAAATTAATCTCCAAACCCTCCAGTATGAGTGCTCAAAGAAAACAAAATGAACTATTGTACAAGAGCCACACGTATATATATATCACTGTAAAAAATGTGTTAAAGGACTGGTGGACACTGAATTCTCCTGTTTAGATTGTACGTGAAGTTCATTTTTATTTGGCTGAAACTTAAGATTTTGTTTTGCTTTGGTACATTTGTTTATCAGAAATATGAATGATCAGCCCTTTAAGGTGCTTATTTTAAACATTTGTGTAGGATTCCTCTATCTCTTTGAAAATTGCCTGACATGCGTTATTCCCGCGTATTTACATGCATGATACAATATTCCTTTCATAACATTACATCAATGCAAGACAACATGTTTATGCAATAAATGTAAAATATCATGATAAATAATCATACTTTAAAAGGTTAAAACAAATAAGAAAAGCAAATTTGATTTCTTTACATTTTATTCACCAAGTTTAAAAAAAATACATCTGATATATGTAGATTATATGAATATAAACTGCGTACATATATCTTTGCTAACACAGTTGATCCATTAGAACTGTTATTCTCCATAGTAATGTCTTCTGCTTTTTTTTTACAATAATTTACATAATTGGCATTCATATGAAGTTATTTTTTGTCCTATAAAATGTAATGTTAAAAAGTTCTAGAATTTGATACTGCTTAGGATAGGATAACTCCCATACGTAATAGTAAAAGATGAGTCTCAAAATGATGTTATTAATGTCCAGGCTTAAATCCACCTTCTGTTCTTCCACAATTCCGTGGCAGTTGTTAATCAATTTGTTTTAGTTTCCACTATAACCTTTCTGGTGACTTTCTGTCTTCTCAGGTTTAGGTTTCTAAACTGAAATATAAAATACATCAATTAAATAATTGTACCAATAAATTTTGTTTCATACCATAACCATTTAATGTATAAAACTTAATTGTGTGTGCAAATAAATATTGTATATTATTTCCTGCCGCCCAACCTACCCTTAAATTCATGTCTATCCTAACATATTAAATAGGCACTTTTTAGTAATGATTAATCAGTGTTAAAGTCCAGGACATTTCCCCACACAGTTTTTGTGAAATAATAAAATTGTTTGGCCTACATGTATCTACCTACCTTCCCTTTTTTTCTATCAAACAGCAGCTGTCATGGGCTGTGGTCAATATTTAAAGCTAAAAGTTTGTCTTAACTTATCAAGGACGAAAAAGATCATGAAAACAGCTTCCCTTTACAACCGACATAACACGTTTAAAAAATGCCCTACATGTATCTAAAAAAATATAAAATAACTCACCCTGCATTTTGTTGTATTGCCTTGGCTATTGTGCTGTAATTTGTTGGTTCACCAGCTCCAAACTAACAGTAATGTCTCTATTTGTCATTTCTGTATTCTAAAACTATTTACAGAAATATTATTACTACACTAATTTATTCAATAAATACATAAAGAATGTTAACCTAAGTTTAAATAAAATGAAAACTGTTGCTTTTATTATCCATTTTAAGTTATCGGGCAAGGATCCACATTTGAGGTTTGTAAAAAGGTGGCGAGGGATCTCCATTTTGAAAATCACATGATAAGGTCATATTTCTTTTTTTAACCTTTTTTTTGTACATTTTTTTAAGCACAGACATTACTACAGTACTTTCCAATTTAAACTTAACAAAATCTAAAGTACAATAGTTTTTTTTCTGTTTTTAATATTTTGGAAGGAAATCCTTTAAAAAGGGGGAAGGTTTAGTGTGAAATTCCTTATCACGTAAACAAATTTATAAACCTTAAGTTAAGGTAACAGTTATATTTTGATAATATATACTTACAATAGAAGTCATAAACATATATATATATATTCCTGGTACAGTTGTGTTTTTAATCGGCTCTCCTGGTCCGTTCTGAATTCCTTCTTCCTTTGTTGTGCATTTGCAGACGGGAAACATGCGGCGTTCGCAATCACGTGGTATCTTTTCTAATCGCATAGGTCATGACATGTTTAGGCTTTAAGCATGTTGGGCATTACATGTTGTAATTCTAAACATGTTTGGATTGGGGACATTATGGAATTATATGTGCATAGCATGTAAACATTTTCCTAAACATGTTTAGGAAATGTTAAGGCTCTAAGCACAATTTTTACAGTAAATATTCCACCTGTTCCATTCAGGTCATCGTAAAACATATAAGGCACGTGCTAAACAAGGTATTTTAAAACTTTTCTTTCATTTCATGACAAATATCTGTTATTTGTTTGCATACTAATTAACTAAAAAGACCTTGATTCTATTTTTAGTTGTTTGTACTACATATTTTGAAAGGTTACACGTCGGTGAATAAACATTGCATGACTTGGCTTTATATACATCAACATCATTTGATCAATTCAAATGTTAAATTGATATCCATATAAGATAATAAAACTGGAAATACAGTATTCTCTTTTTAATGTCAAGAATATACGAATGTCACGAATGGGGTGGATGCAATTGTGATAATTCAAAATAAATGAGAACATTACAAGGGAGTTATATTCTATACAGGTTGTAACACCATTAAATTAAGAATATTCTTTATATAAAACCTAAAAAGAGTCAAACCATTTTGCCATTGCCTTTGTAGTAAATATTCCCCAATAAAAGTTCTCTCTCTTTATCGTTGAAATCTTTTAACAAGCTGTCGTACCAGACACAAGTGAGCTACCTTGGCATACATACATAACATTGATCCAATTATAGTATTGTAAAGAATCAATGCAACGGTCATATATTATTACAAAATTAAACACCCTTTCGATTATTAAAACTATAAAATGTTTCTTCGTGCAGCAAATTTTCGTTTATATTTCCAAAATAGGCGTCAATGGACTAACTGAAAAATATAGTCGTCTGTACAATATTTTTTTCCTCGCAATAGGGATAACGATGGATGCAGGTGCGTGATTATATGTGAACATGATGTACCTGGTGAAGTTTATTCCAGAAACCCGTTTCGTAGGTACTGAAATCGGTCAAGAACGTTTATAATCTTAAAGGGAACCATTGAACGATTACACACTCCATTTACGATGTTAAAATATTAGAAAAAATTAAAGGAAAAGTTTTACAAAATTGGTGTTTTACCATAATGCTAATATTAGGAGTTGGGGTATTGCCAATGACTTAAAGTTCACAGTTAGGTATCTAACAATGACAAAGTTCCATATCTTGTAGTTAGCTTTTTAAAACTATTCAAAAAAGAACAGCGTCCTATGAACGAAAAACAAATTTGGAGGACAGGAACCAGAAACAACCACTGAATGTTGGGTCCATGCACATAAACAATATGGCAAGGTTTTAAAACATGCTTATACGCGCTCAATTCTTCCCTTACATTGAACAGTGGTGTAATAACTGCACGTAAGAACTGTGATAATCAGTTCAAAATGGCTTCGCACAAAATAAAAACAGAGAGAAAAAAGACACAGCGTACCGATCTTAGAGAACTCGGAGTGCGTGAAAGCTAATTCAAAGTTTTATTTCATCTAATAAATATGTTGACAGGATGTAAATGTTTAATGTTCATTTGTGATTCCTTTAAAATTTATATCAAACTCGTTTTTAAGTGTCGGAAAGCCATAAAACTTTAATTTAATATTAACTATATATACGTATATATGAACAACTTTGGGTTTTCAAGTATGAACATAGAATATTGGTATTATCACTTTACAGGTTCTGTGGTCGCCATCAATATCCTGTTGCCGGTTACGGCGTAGCGGGTTTTTTAAAAGTGTGCACCACACTTTTGGTTTTATTTCTTCATAGACAGAAAAAAAAATTTGTCATTCCTTATAATTTAATTCTAAATTCCATTTTTAAGGAGTAAATCATGAAAAAACGTTGATGATGTCACGGTCACATGACAAAATTATGTCCATGAGCTGATAAACAAAAAACTTTCAGCCAATGAGAAGACGTGCTACATCCAAAACTAGATTATTCAACTATATAATACGAACGTCATTCCTAACAAATTCCTAGCATATATGTAACTTTATTAAAGATGTGATATTTAACCATTTTTTTCCTCCTTCATGCAATATCAGGTTAAATGATAAAATTCCATTTTGATGTTATGTAATTGTGAACTTCTATAGATAATTTTATTGCTCTGTAATAAGTAGAACGATAAGACTAGTATCAATCTTTCCGTCTCGTGTTGTCTAGGTAGGTGTCGTATTGACACGGAATCTTACTTCTACAAGTTAAGCGTGATATTTAAAGGGACAATAGCTGTCAAATGTGTGCCAACCGAATGTATGTAAACCTGCAAATATGATTCAATATATACTAAAAGCATGACTATTTTTTTTTATAACTATTTTTGAAAAGGTTGAAATTATGTAAGTCAAAAACTTTAAGACGAACTTGAGACGCATATTTAGTATGCGTTGGTGCATGTTTCCTTAGGTTCATTTATTCTTATGTAAAAGTGATCATCTTCAAGCATGCTGTTCTCAGAACCTTACATGTAAGACAGAATAAAACGAGCCTTATCAAATTGATTTAGAAATAAGGAGATGTGTTATGATTGCTATGAGACAACTATCCACCAGAGTCAGAATGACGTGCATTTCAGAAACTATAGGCTTTCAACGGCCTTCAACAATGAAGAAAACTAATACTGTAGTCAGCTATAAAAAGGCATGACAAATTGTGAAATAATTCAAACGAGAAAACAATAGGCCTAATTCATGACAAAACAATAATCGAAAACCAATATGACAGACAGCAAGCAACGACAACCACTGAACTACATGCTCCTGACTTGGGACAGGCACATAAAGAATGAGCCAGGGTAAAATATGTTTGTTAGCACTCAACATCCCCTTTATTTGTAATTTAGTCGCCAAAAAATAAATGAAGACTGTTTACGTTGTTGTTTCTGATGAACTCTACAATTAATCCCAGATAGTTTTAAATTTTTAGAAAAGGTTTGATTGAAAGATTCAACAAATATATTGCTATAATAATTTATAACAAATTTTTCAAATTTATGTGGCATGAATGCTCATCATTTGGTACAAGAAATATAGATTCTATGCATCGAGTGTGATACGATATTTCTCCACTTGAGACAGTTAAAGCTTGCCGAGGTTTTTAAATACGTAAAATTTAACTGTCAGAAGTGGAGAAATATCGTATTGTACGAGATTCGGTGGTGGAATCTGTTTTTCGATGACTTTCAGACGATATATATAGACAAACTTCTTTTATTTCAAAGATCTGCAAAAAGATGTGATCCTTCTATGTTACGCCATCAGACATGGTCGCCCTTTTCACACGTCCTCACAATAGCAAATTCAGAGGAAAGCAAGGAAACTTGACGTTATAATTATAATTTAATTTTGATCAATGAAGAACTGAGATCAAATGAACCACACTGTGATTATAAAAAATAAACAACCGGTCGTGGAAATTGTAAATCGTTTAAGAAACTGAAAAAGAAATATACCAGTTTTTTGCCGTCCGAGGTTCGCCAATTTTTTATCAGCAGGCTTTTTAACGAACTATGCCTGTACCTAGCTAACATAAAAATGCAAATCAAAAATTGTTTGACCGTTCATCCTGGGCGCTTTCACCAACAGTTTGTTTGATTAAGCAATATTATTTTACATTGAAGTAGTGCTATAGAACTCGACTAGATAAAATACCCTTAAGGCTTTGCTAAATACTGTAGACCTACACAGAACCAACCATACAATACTTTATTAAACTTGAGTCGATAAAAGGTATATATAGAGACTAGTTTATTTCGAAGACAGGATGTTGACCACTGCATGTTTTTGAATTATTTTGTATTGTTGGGTGAATCCCTCTCTATAGTGGACTCTCGGCGCTTTTCTTTCTTCATCATACCAACAGATATAATCAATGTTTAAATGAAAATAAACTACAAAATTGTCAAAAGTACAAATCTCCTTTATTAAATTAGAATATACATTCAGTGTCAAATAAAGCAGTTACTATGTTCTCCAATAAACTAAATTATTTGAATATAGGTATTGATAACTTTTAATCGACCGAAGAAAATAAAGCAAACCTTTATCTACAAATACATATAAGATAGAAAAAAGAGATATAATGCACAAGTTTGAAGATGTATGGAAAGGGGCATTGAGATAGGAGAGTCCTTTTTGCGGGTTCAGTCAAATGCTCAAAAGAACCAACGTTGTTAAGTTGTGTTTTACGTGACTATGTTGATCTTTGTCTAAACATATAATTGAAAGTTCATTATCTGACCACAAATGATCTGTGTCTAAACATATAATTGAAAGTTCATTATCTGACCACAAATGATCTATGTCTAAACATATAATTGAAAGTTCATTATCTGACCACAAATGATCTATGTCTAAACATATAATTGAAAGTTCATTATCTGACCACAAATGATCTGTGTCTAAACATATAATTGAACATTATCTGACCACAAATGATCTGTGTCTAAACATATAATTGAACATTATCTGACCACAAATGATCTTTGTCTAAACATATAATTGAAAGTTCATTATCTGACCACAAATGATCTGTGTCTAAACATATAATTGAAAGTTCATATCTGACCACAAATGATCTGTGTCTAAACATATAATTGAAAGTTCATTATCTGACCACAAATGATCTGTGTCTAAACATATAATTGAAAGTTCATTATCTGACCACAAATGATTTGTGTCTAAACATATAATTGAAAGTTCATTATCTGACCACAGATGATCTGTGTCTAAACATATAATTGTAAAGTTCATTATCTGACCACAAATGATCTGTGTCTAAACATATAATTGAAAGTTCATTATCTGACCACAAATGATCTATGTCTAAACATATAATTGAAAGTTCATTATCTGACCACAAATGATCTGTGTCTAAACATATAATTGAAAGTTCATTATCTGACCACAAATGATCTGTGTCTAAACATATAATTGAACATTATCTGACCACAAATGATCTTTGTCTAAACATATAATTGAAAGTTCATTATCTGACCACAAATGATCTGTGTCTAAACATATAACTGAAAGTTCATATCTGACCACAAATGATCTGTGTCTAAACATATAATTGAAAGTTCATTATCTGACCACAAATGATCTGTGTCTAAACATATAATTGAAAGTTCATTATCTGACCACAAATGATTTGTGTCTAAACATATAATTGAAAGTTCATTATCTGACCACAGATGATCTGTGTCTAAACATATAATTGAAAGTTCATTATCTGACCACAAATGATCTATGTCTAAACATATAATTGAAAGTTCATTATCTGACCACAAATGATCTGTGTCTAAACATATAATTGAAAGTTCATTATCTGACCACAAATGACCTGTGTTCAGTTTGATACTTTTGTTTCCACGATGTGCATGTAAATGAACAAATACCAATAGTTACGAAAAGTAGAAATGATTTTATCCAACCGTTAGAGAGAGTAACCAAGAGTACAATATACATGTACTTATGTTAAATCTGATTTTATAATCAGCATTTTTTTGATAATAATTTTACCACATATTATCTAACAAAACATTATGATAAACATGTTTCGTCTGCAGGATACGGAAAACGAAGATTGAATTATTTCTCTGTTACGAATAGTAACTCATGTACTCCCTCCTTCTGCAAAAAAATCTCAAAGACTGCTTTGTTGATTTTCAATCAATTGTTAGATCGAAGTGGCAAATATCCTTTTTGCTCTTAAGCTAAGTCTTCTCCAGTGTGATTTACTGTATAGATTAAATAAGTACGTTTTGAACAAGTTGGTTTAAAATTTTCCTAGGGCTAGTAATCTATTAGTGATAACTGATTTGTGGAATTATACAAAGGAACTTTTTTAACAGCGTTGATCCTTTTTGAGAAATCAGTACCGGTGAAAGTGTATAGAGGGAAGGAGTCAAGGTTCGTAGAACATCAGGTAAAATGTATACATACATAAGTAAACAACTTTGCACTAAAAAACAGAAATTCCAAATCTTCATAAATTTAAAATAACTTTTAACAAAGAAGTAACCCAAGCCTGCAAATTTAAACATTATTTTGAAAACATTCGACATTAAAATTAAAGTGAATAAGGTAAAGAAAAGGTTGAAATAGTGTGCACAGGTTTAACAAACATTAGAGTTATACAAAGTTTCAGACCGCTTTGCAGTTATATCGGTATAATGATTAATAAAAACAAGTCGTATGCCATATATTTATTGCAGTTTAAAAAGTGATAAATTATTAAAATTGAGCTGAAATCAAAGTTATTATTAAATTATAACCAACGGTATTTATATAGAAACTATGAATGGTAATATGTCTAGCAGTGAGAATATCAAATGCACTTGAAATGGATAAAAAATAAACACAGTAAATGAAGTCGTCACATGTTACACCAAAGTAATAGTGTTTCGCCCATAAAAAAGAACGAAAGCAAAAAGAAAGATAAGAAGAAAACCAAAAGATCAATCATACAGCGAATTAATCTTTTTTAAGCAACCTTTTGTTATTCATTTTCTATTTTCTCCCTCTGACAACTTGCCAGTAATTGGTTATACTTTTGGTATTTTTCGGTTAAATAGACTCTTCAACATTTGTATATGCTTTGGATTCTCAAATACTTTTTCCTCGGTCAACACTGAAGGCACTATATATCGAAATCAAATTTGGTAGCATTAAATGTTTACCATAAATTATGAATTTTGAGAAAAAAAACTGATGTAGAGGAAGAAAATATGATTACGGTCTCTTCATCTACAACTGTGATAGGCCCGGAAACACATCAATCGCCGCCCTTGTATTCATATAGAGAGTATTTTTTATAGTTTATTTTTCCCCTAAGTTTTTAATTCCTGTGCCAATTTTTACGTGTTTCTTGAAATTGGCTAATCTTCAATATAAGACAACTCTCCATCAGAGACCAACTTTTTCATTTATTAAGGTATGATGAACTAGTGATTATTGAATAGGATGAAAATGCAGAATGTAAAACGAAGGTATTGTGTCATAAATAGGTAGTTTGTGCTGATACAAAATCGTCCATTTACAAAAACGTCCGACATCTTCATCAAAAAAGACAAACAAAATAAACGTAGATTTGTTTAGCATATTTAGAGGTAAAGTAAGGGTTGAAGGTCCTTACTATACACTATTAAAAATTTAGTCTGGAGTTTTAATCGTTTTTTAAACTGTAAATCGTATTCAACAATGTAATACGGCTTATAATTGAAGCGTGCAAAACATAACATAATATGAAAGCATGAAATTATAAGTAAAATAAAGTTGAACAGAATAAATTGACTGATTAGCTATCTAAAAAGTTGAAACGATGTCTTTCAGCTAGTTTAAAACATACACAATTTTATTTTTACAGTTTTTGTTATATCTTTTATGATGATTTAAAAGGTCCGTATGCTTTAAATTGATTGAATAGACTGTTTGATAAAGGCTTGAAAGATGAGGCGTTTTAAAATACTCAGATTTTCTACCCTAGACACGGACGTCCTTAGCAAAGTTTTGCATACCGTTTTGGAAAATTTGGTTTTTCTTGCTCTTCAACACTGCTGTTATTGATTTTCCTTGCTCTTCAACACTGCTGTTATTGGTTTTCCTTGCTCATCAACACTGCTGTTATGATTTTCCTTGCTCTTCAACACTGCTGTTATTGATTTTCCTTGCTCTTCAACACTGCTGTTATTGGTTTTCCTTGCTCTTCAACACTGCTGTTATTGGTTTTCCTTGCTCTTCAACACTGCTGTTATTGATTTTCCTTGCTCTTCAACACTGCTGTTATTGGTTTTCCTTGCTCTTCAACACTGCTGTTATTGATTTGGCACTGTTTTGATTTTAGTGCACTTATGATACTTGTGTTGTCGAAATTCGCGTCTGGCGTACTAAAATCTTTGATGATGAAATTTGACAATCACAAATAATAAATTATGAAGCAGTAACAATGATAACCCGTACTTATCATGTATTCAATAGTTAAATAAAAAGACAAGTAGCTCAAAAATACCGGAAAATAATACAGTCAAACATACGAAATCAATATTGCTATTAGCCGTCATCAATACACTTGAAAAATAAGAATGAAAAAGTCAAAATTAAAAATGTTTATACAATAATTTACATAAACATGCATGGTTGGCAGATACCTTTAATGTATCATCGACAAAAGTATCCAGGGCGCTTTCGTATATGCATGATCAACAGGTTGGTATTTAAAATAAGGAAATAAAGAAGATTTATATATACGTGTATATATCATTTATCCTCGACTCTTATCCAAATTTAGGCCTTCATTTATAGTACAAAAAAATTAAAACAATACTATTTATACGTGTCAATCTTACCTCCTTCTGTCCCATTTTTTGGTTCAGTATACAGAAATTTAATAAACTAAACGAAATAACGAAAACAATAATCCAGCGATCAGTATATAAAAAGAGTTGGCACAAAAAAGTAAATCATGTGACCAGTGACGGTTCGTTGGACAAGATTTCGTTTCACCTAAACAGTCATATGATTTACAATGGGTAAATTCTTCATAAAGTTTTTCTATCATAACGTGTATTGGTTTAAATGCAGTATGAGTTAATCAATACTATAATACATATATACGTTAAAAGATGTTTCTGTTATGCATAATTCAAATAAGATATAAAACAAAGAAAAAATTAAGGTATAGTGCACTACATAACGTTATTTTTAGCTACATTTTATGACTGACATTCTTATTTCGTCTTTTTTTTATATTGGAGAGAGAGGGGTGAACATGACCAGTTTGCTCGAAGACCTCAACATAAACACAACTTGAATGACCAACATGAAATATCCCAGTGCCAGTACGGATGCTGCAACGAAACTGTTGGTCATTAAACAAGCACAAGATAGAATGGATGAAACCGAGGCATTACAATCCCAGTGTGATTAGATCAAAAAGGATAGCGCGTCGCTGTTTTTGATATCCTGTGGTGTTTTTCGTTGATGGAGAATATGTTCGTTGTTGTTCTGTGGTTTGTATGTTGTGTCGACTATTATATTATTTGTTTGTGCGTTTCTCTGTTATGAATGTTCTTGCATGTGTTTGTGCTGTATTTCTGTTACGTAGTGTTTTAGCGATATTTTTTAACATTGTCATAAAGCGGGAGGTTTGGCATGCCATGAAACCATGTTCAACCCACCATGTTTTCTTAAAATGTCCTGTACCAAGACAGGAATATGTCAGTTGTTATCAAATAGTTCGTTTCTATGTGTGTTGGCGTTTGTTTTTGTTGCACTTTGGTGTTCCTGTTGTTCCTTTATTTCCTCTTATAGTTGATGTGTTTCCCTCGATTTTGGTTTGTAACCCGGATTTGTTTTCTCTAAATCGATTGATGACTTTTGAACACCGGTATACTACTGTTGCTTTTATATATGAAACAGATGAAGAAAGATTATGATGCAACGATCAAAGAACTCGAGACAACGTTGATGGACAAAGTGGGCAAGTCTGAATGTGTCTCTGCCAGCGATGGTAAGATGAATAACGACATAGATATGCAACACCATTCTATTCGTAATCTTTCCGAAAGAAAGGTGGCAGATGAGCAAATGACGAAAGGCCGATATGCAAAGAATTGACAAGAACTGATGTAAACAATGCAAGAGAAATACAACGGACTGATGAGTAAAAAATAAGAACATCAAGCACAACCTGGAAAATTTTTAGGGTTTTTGTTTAATTGCTGAGAGATTAAAACGTAGATCCGTTAACGATTCAGCATCCGAGCATGGACAAATTGTTGATTGAATAAAATCAGCACTTGAATGTCTCGGTAAAACCTTCACATTATCCCAACCTTTTCAGTCTGGGCTAATTGCCAAGACAATAAAGATAGCTGGGAGTTTGTTTTGTTACTGCATGTCTGATTGTTTATTCCAATAATTGATTGACTCGGGGGAACCCTCTCCTTTTGATGTAGCTCTTTGACTCCGTTCCAGGTTCGCCTTTGCAAGACTTTTTCGATGCGGTACTCGTCCTGATCGGTCTTCTGAAGTCCGGGATCGTAGAAAGAACCATGTTTATCCTCATCGTTGAAATCCTTGAGATGGTAGGTCATGGTTGAGTGTTTAACACTTTGGAAACGCTGAACACTTCTTCGGTCTATTGACGGATATGGACCAAGGTTTTGGTGTTCCATTAGCGTTCTCTCGTTTATGCAGATTCGTACCAGGTCCCGTAAAGTTGCGCCCCGGAAGATTCTCCAATCATCTCCACCGGTAAGATGTTGATCAGTTTGTTCATTAATCCACCACCATTAGTACTCACGAACTGGTACTTCCTTGGTCCACCAACAGCACATGTTCATACTCTCCCTCGCCGCCCGTTGCTAATCATGATCTTGAAGCAACTACTAGTACTCGTCTCCGTCTTACTTTTGCATTTCATTTCATTTAAATAAATTTTAAGTTGAAGACATCTCATACAATGAAACTACAGCGAAAAGACACAACAACCTACTCCTTCCACAGAGATAGATCAGAGGAATGATCACAGGAAAGTCAGTCTGGGGTAAGACGACGGTGTTAGATTAAGATCACTTGTACGTCTTTGGGGAAGCTCTTCACTTACCAATCTACCAGCTCTTGAAAAAGGTTCTGGTTAAATATGACATACGCGTACTCTTGTCCATCAAAGATAAGTGTCTCAAATCACTAATCGATGTCGTTGGCGTACTACCCCCACCGAGTTGACGTAACGGTATCTACGCTTTCTTCTTTGAGCAAGGTGAAGACGTCTGCCTCTTCCAACAAGCCTCTAAGAATCTCCAACCCACTCATCGTGACTACTCTTCGGACCTGACCTTCGAGGAGCTTAAGCCTTTGCGTGAACGGCATTGCTGCGAGCCTTACGGGTTTGCCACCATCGATTTGACCAAGGGTATGGATAATTATCAAAAATTCCTTACAGCAATACCTTTTTTCAAGTGGGTCTCATTGGGGTCTAAGCGTGACCCGGGATTGCCGATTTTTTGTAAGCGTGTCACGTGAAAGTCAAATTATTGTGGCGTGAAAACGGGAAATGAAGTCTAGCGGGACACGGGAAATTACAAAAAAATGAGAATTGCTTACGTACATTGTGTAAGCGGTATACGGGAATCTGACAAAACAGTAAGCGGGATCCGGGATCAGAACCCCCAAATGAGACCCCCTTTCAACACCAAGAAGAAGATGGAGACCTAAGGTGTGCTTGATAAAAAAAACCAAAGTGGAATATATCACTTTTTAAGAACTATTTTAGGATGCCGTTAATATCGAAAGTTATTTCACACAATATTGCAAAAATGATTCCTGAAGTGTGATAAATAAGTCGATACCATAAAAAGGAGTGTTGCTAATATTTGTATAATTTCGTTTTTTTTAAATAATTGTTTACGATTCTATTTACATGAATACGTGTATTTAAATTAGAAATAAGAGCGAATGGATCCTTGGGGAATGAGCCCGGGCAAACATGTTTACTATGCGACCGGACCCAACACCATCAAAAGTTTTGAATGTTTAAGTCTTAAAATGTGCAGCACGATGTTATGGTACATGTAAACCATATTTTATTGTCTTTAAATTATTTAACAGGAAATGAAATTGTAAAACGCATCAAATAATGTCTTCCACTGCTAAATTATATTTAAAATAGATATTATTGTGGATATGAAATGTTTTATACATTTTTTATTATTATACTTTTTTTAATTAAGTTTGAATTTGATGCAACTTTTTGGAATGTAGGTACGTCTTAAAATTTGCTGCTTCCGGAATTGCTGATATCGGAGTGGCTGCTAGTGAGTAGCTGCTAGCTTGAGTCTAGCGACATACTCAGTCAATCATTGCACTTGAATTCTAAATAGTTACGACTTAATTTAACAAACAATGTAACGACTACAATTCATAGTGCATCTCTTTCTACAAGAAATACAAGAATATGTGTCCGTAGGACACCATGTCTCTTTCGCACTATTTCATTTCCAGTTTCAGTGAGGCACGAAATCTGAGTAAAAACTTAAATTGAAATATTTCCTAACCAGTTCACTTCACAATAAACAAGCTTGTATTGTAGGATCTTATATTATAAACTTATAAGTATGGATTTCCTTTTGCTTGTGAGAAAGCTGTCTTTCTTTAGTGGATTCTAGTGGAAAGCTGTTTCATTAGTAACTATACCACATTTCCTTATTTTCTATATAAGTGTGACAGAAATGCAGTTAAGCATAAGACAATATTTGTAATTCAATGTTTAATTGTAATCCATGATAAATTACCCGTTTGAACAATGCCTTAACGAAAACTACATGGAAAATCATCCTTTTATCCTTGGTTGCTATGAAACTCGTTGTTGCTAGAGTGCTCTCCTTGAGGTCCGCGCTCTTGGTATATAAAGACACCGATACATTGTGCGAGTTTGGTCATTTGTATTTGGCTGTTGATGAGGAAAGCATCGATAAATTATATACAAATTAACTCAAAGATCTTTTAGAAGAATTTGGAGCTGAAAAGTAAGTTGATAAACCACTAGGATTAAGTTGAAAGCTTGTGGTTTGAAGCAAGCGGTCTAGAAGTCTTTACGATTGTTGCAAGCTACCGGGTTGTTCTGAAACTGTAATTTCCCACGGGAATGGTCGCAGTCCCTCGAACAGGTAGTTTGTGAAAGTCTGGTGACTTCGGTGCTTCGGAGACTGGGTGTCTCAGAAACTAGGTGTCTCAGAACAAGGTGTCTCAGGAACCTATGGTTTTGAAGCTTGTCCTCTTATAGTTTTTGAAAGGTTATAATTGTTGAGCAAATCGGTTGGGACCTCGGAGTCAGTGAAAGGATTAAGGATAAATTGAGGTTATAGTTTTTAGACTACTTTTTGATACAAAGTTAATTGTGTAAATATTGTTGTTTCTTTATTAAGTTTCAAAGTTTAAAGGTTGGTCTCGTAGTTTTTAGTAAAGCCTCCAAGTTGTAGTTAGATTTTGAGTTAATTAAAAGATTGATATTGGAGTATCTCAGATTCTGTGAAAACGGATACGAACAGATAGTTTATAAGCCAAACACGTTACAAAATTGTTAGCAGCGGTGGGATCTGAGAGACTTCAGTATAATATGTAATTACATTGTTTGATTGTGAGTTCATTTTCTATTTGTCCTTGCAAGAAGCAATACATTGTTTTGTAAATACATTGATTGTCAAGTTGTGTAATAAAATATTTTTGAAAAACTTGTTTAATTTATTCTTCAAAATATGTCGCGAACATACAGAGAAGATGATATGTTGTATGACCCTGATAGTTATGAAACAAGAAAAATGACAAGGGAGATAGATAGATTGAACAGGGAAATAGGGCGCATACGAATTAAAAGTTTTGAAAATGCCCCAGACTTTGCTCAGTCAACTCCTATTAGTCAAACAACACATCCAAGACAATCTGACTCTGGAATTGCTACTGCCAGAATTCCGAACCCTGACTTTGGTAC